GAATGACCAACTATTTCACTTAGTTTATTCATAAGAATCGTTCCTTAGCGGACTACACATCACTAGTTATCAGTGGTGGTATGAAATACCTCAAACGAGCCTAATTATCAAATTGGCAGTTTCTCAGTCGATACTGTCACACGTATCGGTTTTTGCGGTACCTCTCAACAGTTCTCTTCTTGTATTCTTTCGCTGTGCTCAAAGACAGTGGCGTACTTTGCGTTGCCTTACTCTCTGTCATTTTGGTTCTTGAGGGCAGTACTCGTCTGGCCCCTGTTCAATTATTTTGAAGCTGCCTTGTGCATCTCGCAGTTGTCATAGTGTTTTTCTTTGATGAAATGACCCATAACCCTGCTTTCGTATACCCTAATTTTGTATCACAGATTTTACTTGAGGTGTACGAAAACGTATCATGTTCCTTTTGTCGATAAGGTCACAATGCGCAATTCGTGGTACCTGAGATACAAGTATGTACATAAAAAAGACCTCTTATTAAAAGAATTTCATCCCACTTCTGAAGAAAATTATTTACTTTTAACTTTTGCTCTATAATGTGACCAAATCTTGCGTCGTTCCTTTTTAAATTACATTCAGCGATTACCCCAGTTTCCTCTGAAGACTTTCTTGATAATAATTCCAGATACCCAAAAAGCAAAGATCCTACTAACCGCTCTGAGAACTAACATTACTTTGACATAAATGATTAGTTTCAAGAACATTTCTATGTACATATGTTTCTCAGTTACTGACTTGTGTCATATATATATTGTTGTTTTTGGGCGTATAACGATACCGACTTTTTCAGTCGGTTGTCACCTTCAGTGTTCAACCTGTACCTTTGAATCTGAATTTGTCAACGACAGTGGAGTTTTTAGGAACACATGAGTATAATTTCTAACTACATAAGTGACTAATCTTCATCTTCTTCAATAACAAGCCAGTCATATGGTTACTTAGTCACTCTTTCTGATCGAAGGTGGAAAAGATAAAAGTATTGCCTCGCTTGGCTGTTGGTGTTCTTATCAGATCACTAAAAGCTGATTTTATCGAAGAAGATGACATGGAGGAACTTTGTGTATTCCTAATATATTACAGATCATACCTACACAACTGTGCCAAATTATGAAACTACTCATATAAATGGATTTTTTACAGAAACTTCCTTCTAAACCATCATTTCAGCAACGTATGAATTCTCATAGTTCCAAAATGCACCACCAAAATTTTACCAATTAAATTATTGTAGTGAAAACTTAATCTAACGGTAGCTACCTCTATAAGGTCACTTGGTAGTTAACTGTTAGATTGAGGTAGTGAATTACGGGTGATCTGTTGATAAATCTTCTAATATATGAGGTATTCTTTCATTAATTTTTGGTGTTCGGCGATAGGCGAGTATAAAGATAACAAAAAAAGAAAAACGACACCGTTTGCGAGAATGATTAAATTTCTCACAAAGATGCTACTTTTAGCATACCTATGTTAAGTCAAAAAAAAAAACTAAAAACATTCCCACTATATGTTCTTATAAGACTGGTTTTGCAACTTGTTTTGTATTTTCCTTGGTGGGAATAAAGACATTATTATTATTATTATTATTATTATTCTGTTTTGAGAAGTCTGGCTGCTTGTGCATTGAAGAATATTTTAACTCCAAACACTTTATTGTATTTTTTACTTCTCTCAAAATTTGAAATTACTGTATTACCACTGCTACTGTTGCGACATATCTCAATCTTTGAACCAATGATTTGAGATTGACAGATCACCCTGTACATGGATATATTTCACTTTGTTGTAAGGCCGCTATCATGTTTTTCCCTTAAATGTTGTACAGAACATCGAGTAAAATGTGTCGAATTTTTTATGAACTTGAAACAAAGGTAAACGATTGTGTTGACGTGAATATGTTAAAAACAAATTGTAAATAATAGCTGTTTAAGTCCCGAGTATAGTATTAACCTTCAATAGGCTGGTTGCAAGGTACCTCGTAAAGACTACCTAGAAGAAAACCTGGAACAATTTTGTTCTTTGAGTGAATTTGGACAATTTTGCACCGAAAAATCACTGTGAGAAATTTCTTAGAATCATTGAGACATGTTGATTTTCCTAACAGAATTTACGAATTAAAATATTCACTAAAAGCACCATAAATCTATAATGTACGTTTCATGTCTAGCAACCGTATAAATTTATAGTGTTTCTGTTTCTGAATGGCAGGCAGTGAGTTCCTTTTCAAGGTATTCTTCTGGGGCTATAACCTAACAACTGGTCTAAATACTTTTTCCGTTATTATTGAAGGCGATATATGGATATTTTTTATATAAAGTGCTTTTGCGAAAGTGTAGAATCAAGTTATTAGATTTTATTTATAGATAGAGTCGGTAGTCGAGATGATACGACTCTAAGGTCATGTTGACTTTTCTACACTTTCAACAGGACGGAAGTGTGTGTTTTGATTTTCTCATTGCGCTATCGCACATATGTAGACAGAGCACTCAGAATTCAGTCGCACAGCATTTTGCTTATAAAACTACTCAAGAATCTCATAACGACAAATTCCTCTATCGAAGTTTAGCATAATATGAATCGTAAATTCAAAAAGTGTAACTTGCACTCTGAATGCGAATGAATTCTGCGAGACTTTGTGAATAGCGATTCTTGAATGTTACCGTATTTTATTTAACTCTAATCGAGAAGTGTCTTACTTTATTCACAAATTTCAACGACATATGAATTTTGAACATAATAAGGAAAATGATGTAATATGAATCCTTAGGGTTACTGTACATATACAAAAAAAAACAGCTTTATACAATTATGAAAAATATATGAGCATTGTTTTGTATCCGACATAACAAATTGTTTTTACATAAACTGTAGGAATTAGTGAAATGCTTCAGATTATGTACAATCACATTTGACCTTAATATGTCTTCTTTAGTGCTATGTGTAAATCTATTTGCTGAATACTGAACTGTATGCACACTTTAGGTCCTCTAAAATCCTATCAATGTATCAAAATTACAATGAAAAATCACCTAGTCTTGGAACACATCATTCTTATTGAAGTTTAAGCTGGTCATACATGCAAACGTTATTCGTGTGTATGGCCACCTTTAAATCAGGTAAGAATTATTGTACCATAAGTGATACTTTTTCTGTTATTTGTTCAATTAATAGATGGATTATAAAAAATGTTCACTCTACTATTTGACACGCTTGAACTAAAGTGTGCCGTACACTACGAATTACTTTAGATGAAGACAAATCGAGGTCGACAGATTGTATAAATACTCCTTTATAAAATTTTGAGATTCATAAATCGCTAATTGAGGTTAGTAATACCCGTATATCATGAATTTGTTTAACAGTACCCGAGAATGTGGTTCAAAATTATTGTGATACACCTCGTACGGTTTGTGATATCATTTTAGAATGTCAGTGTGTGCTTCTACGTCATATTTTTGACTGAAAATTTGATCGTAGGTGCTGCTTGGTGACCTATGATGTTCCTCGATAGATTTTCAATATGATATGCACCAAAATTGAGTTGAAATGATTTTCTGTCTGTATTGAACACTATTTCTTGTGATATATTGAGCCGTATTCTTAAAACAAAGGATAGAGAATATGGAGAAATTCACAGACTAGATCACAACTAATAAATAAAGCAAATGTTGTACTACTTGGCGATGACGGTTATGGTATTGAGCCATGCCTATGACCCCCTTCAGAAAGCCTACTCCAGGTGCAGAAACAAATTATTATAAGCTTTTAAAACAAGAAAGAGTTATAATTGAACGTTATTTCGGCCAACTGAAACGCCGGTTTCCTATCCTACAGTATGATAGTCGCGTAAAGTTGGAAAATGTGCCGAAAATAATTATTGCTTGTATTGTACTTCATAATGTTGCGAAGAGCCTGGGCGATCCTGACTTTGAGTTACTTGACCCAGATGAAGATGAAGGAAATCATGAGAATGACGAACTTCCTCTCCACCAACTAGGCCAACAAATAAGAAGAAACTTGAGTATTATAATAAATAGTTTTGCTGATTGAAGTGTATTTATAAGTTATAATAAGTTTTATTTTCGTGAACATCATAAGTTACAGGTGGCTTCTGACGCTACATCATTTCTAATTTAATTTTATAATACTCTTGTAAAATACTTGTTTGGTACTGCTGTAATAGGACTAGACGTTGCAGTTCTTTCTAGTTAACCCTTTGGTTTCCTCAGTTTCGTATTTCTCTGTTTCTAATTTTATTTTTGGTGGCAATGCCTTCTGAATTGCTGGCGTTGTAATACTAACTGATTGCTCACTGCGGTGGGTATATAGTTCACTTCCTTCTTCCTGAACACTACCAACCTGAATGGCACTCCCAAATTTCCCAATTGCAGGATTACAGTCACCTTCCATTGCTTTCAGCAACTTTCTTTCCCAATCTAACAATTTAATTGCTTTATTACCAGTTTTTTTTAGATCTGTTTTTTTCTTCAATCTTGATTTCATGTTGTTGATTTTTTTTAATAAGCCTTTAGTATCTAATGGTTTACCGAATGTTGATTCGTATTTTATCAACATCTTCTTCAAGGCATCGTCCTTTCTCATTTTTATTTTTGGAACGTGTGACTTTTGCAAAGTGATGGGAGCAATGGCAATTTCATCTGCGATGAACTGCAGGCCGTTGCAATTATTTTCTATAGTTTCCGCATCACTTGAGGATGACATGCTTATTAATTTGATCAAAAACTGTATTCAGTAAAAATACGGAACGGTCTGTGTAAGCTCTGGAGTACAACTGTCAGTGATGCTGAGTGAACGAACTCCCACGTCAACTACAAGCTGGAACAAGTCAGGACATGTCGCTCAAGATGCAAATACCAGTCAACCTTTTACATCTTCTTGGAGGATATCCTCGCGAGTATAAGGTAATCATTATGAATATGAAAACAAGGATATGCTTATACTTCTACCTTTTTCTCCGAAGCAAGACCTTATACTTTTACCTTATGCTTCCGAGGGTATGCTTCTCTTTTATGAATACGGCTCATTTTCTCTTCAAGCTTATGTAATGACATACTAAAAATTGAAATGTATTCTAAGTAACGGTCAATATCGAATACCAACAAAAACTAACTCATTATGATTGCAATTTGAACAAAATTGGCGGCAGACCGGTAAATATGTAGCTTTCACCTTTTTTGTCTATTTGTGTAGACCGTGACATAATCACTTCATACAGACTATCGCTAGATTTGAAAGAATGATTTTAATTTTGTTGTGGTTTAGCTTCATAGATTTCGATACTCAAATGTTGCTATTCACATTATTTAATTTTGAGACTAATCTTCTTTTGATAAATGATTTGGCGTACATTCGGAATTAAGCATCTAAGTTTGCTAGTGCGACGATCTATGTTGGATTTTATGAAGTGTATGAGGTGTAAAACTACCCTTAAATTGCGCATATCACATGGAAGTCAGCGTCCATTTTATGTCCGTCTAGAATATGTTTATCTCGACTGATGTATCCATTTAACCAGCCCAAAACGGGCAAGACAATAAACGAATGATCTATGATATGAATTTTATTTATACCTTTAGAGCAGCGGTCGCCAACATTTGCAGATACTTTGATAATTTCACTGATCAACAACCAAAAAATATCCTAAATAAAATCAACAAAATATTACTATTTTTAATGTGCTAAAACCGGAATGAAACTTATTTTTTCAATATTAGCTCAAGTTTTAGAGATACGGTAATTATATGTGTTCCTGCTGTGACAATGTTAATATACTGTAATTCACAAGAATGCACGTGCTACATTTTTATATTCGGCAAGGAAAGATGATGTAATCGGCATGATTGCGTTACGTTATACATACGTGTACATTATATTGTTTTATATTAGCCATTTTTTCCTCAGTTGGCCGACAGCGTTCATGCAAGATGTCTCGAAAGTGTGTAAACAATCCAGATCAGTTTTGTTACGTGTGTGGTGATGTGACTTTTGCGTCTCAGAGACGGTATATTAGTCCACTAATAACAAAGGCATATCAGCTTTATTTCGGTTGTAAACTAGGTGATCATGACAAACAGTGGGCACCCCACATCTGCTGTAATACATGTGCTTCAAGTCTGAGGAGCTGGTTAAATGGCAAAAAACGGTCTATGCGCTTTGCTGTCCCAATGGTTTGGAGAGAGCCTACAAATCATATTAATGATTGTTACTTTTGCATGGTACCTTGTATTGGACAAGCCACAGGTATGTCCAAGAAAAAAAAATCGGTTATTAACTACCCAAACATACCATCTGCGATGAGACCTGTGCCTCACAGTGACGAAAATCCTAATCTAAAACCCCCAGAATCCTACACTTGCGAATCAGAAAACGAATCAGATCATGGCGATCGAGTGATTCGTCAGGAAGAAGATATGCCATCAACTTCAAGAGATCCTGATTTTATACCGAGCATGTCATGCCACCAACCGCACAAAATAACACAGTCAGAATTAAATGATCTTGTAAAAGATTTAGAACTTCCAAAAGGCAGAGTTACTTGGATCAAGACTGCAGCAGTGGAACTTGTTAGAAGACGATGTTTCGGTATGTGTTTTTCGTAAACGCCACAAAGACTTTTTTTCAATATGGAGAATAACTTGGTTTTCTGCAGTAACATTAACGGCTTACTGGCGGCTTTAAATATAAACTATAACCCAGAAGAATGGAGATTGTTTATAGACAGTTCAACATTGAGTTTAAAGGCAGTGTTATTGCATATTGGAAATATTTTACCATCTCTTCCTGTAGGGTATGCAGTTCACATGAAAGAATCATATGACAATATGAAGTACCTATTGACATGCATAAAATACGATGAGCACCAATGGCATATTTGTGGCGATTTGAAAGTTGTTGCACTTTTACTTGGGCTGCAGCTAGGCTACACAAAGTTTTGCTGTTTTTTGTGTGAATGGGACAGTCGGGCTAAGGCACTTCATTACACCAGACAAAACTGGCCTGTTCGTCAATTCCTAGAGCCAGGTCAAAAAAATGTACAGCATATGCCATTAGTAGATTCGAAAAAAAAATTATTACCACCAGTGCATATCAAGTTGGGCCTAATGAAAAACTTTGTCAAGGCATTAGATAGAGATGGGTCAGCTTTTCAATACCTGCGTCAGAAATTTCCAAGACTAAGTGAGGCAAAGGTTACAGAAGGTATTTTTGTTGGGCCACAGATTCGAAATATTTTGCAAGATACACAGTTTGAAAACACTTTAACAGGTATTGAAAAAACTGCTTGGAATGATTTCCGTCTGGTGCTCACTAATTTCTTGGGAAATAGAAAAGCTGACAACTATAAAACCCTTGTCAAAAATATGCTGTCATCGTATCAAAAGATATAGTAATATGTCTCTTAAGATACATTTCCTACACTCACACCTGGAGTTTTTTCCTGACAATTGCGGAGCCGTAAGTGATGAGCACGGCGAACGTTTTCATCAGGATATTTCAACAATGGAAAAAAGGTACCAGGGAAAGTGGAATCCTTCCATGCTTGCAGACTACTGTTGGACTCTTGGTAGAGATGCTCCAGAAACGATCCATAAAAGAACAGCAAAAAGACAGCGTATATAGTGATTCTTATAAGTATATGAATCTTGTTACTTTTTTTAATATATCCTTAAAAATAAAAACTTTTTTTTCTAAACCGCAACTAATTTTTTTATTTCATTGTCATTTTTGGATTCAGCGCCCCAAAATTAACAAAGAAGTGCACTTTCCCCACAAGATACAATTAAAAAACTAAAATTTGTTGTCCAGTGTTTTGGAATCAACAGTCGTGAGCAACTTAAATGAACTTATACACAGTTGTATGCGACATAGATGTGTTTATTTTACTAATACTAATACATACTGAGGTGTCTGAGGTGAATAAGGCCCACCTAACTTTAAAGCTAAAAACTCAGGAATTATATCAAAAAAATTGAAAAAACTTAGTTCAGTAGAAAGCTTTTTAATTTAAGGTAAGAATAAAAGATAAACAGTAACACAGAAATCAGCATGGAAATAAACATAACGATTTTTAAAAACTCGTGCCATGGACCTTATTAAACTACCACAGTAATTTAAGGCCCGAAAATGAAATATTTCTTTCTTATGAAATTATCAAAACTCAAAGTTTTTGGCATTTCTCAGCAGCTAAAATCAACAAAAAACATTTTATTACATAGACTTAAGAGATAATAACAATGGGCCTTATTAACCTCCGGGGGTAGTAAGGTCACTTTTTAAGTTATTACAAGATTTCTTATGTTCATGTTTAAATGACATATCCTAAACCAGACTTTGAATTGGGAACTTTGGAAGTAGATTCGTTTAGAAATATTGTTCTTGAACGACTAAGAGGTTCGATTGAATACAAATAAATAGTCCATCAATATAGATCCAAGTTTACCTAAAAATAACGATACTTATTCGTCACAGTTTTGACAATAAAACAATTCCTTATCATTTTTGGTCAATGCATTCTTCGTGGTACCATATGTGACATTTAACACACTGTTTCATATCCGACACACGATTTTCCTTGCAAGCACAGCAAAACCAAGATTCTTCTGAAGGAACTTTGCTTATTTTCCTTTCATCACTATGCGTTGTTGGTTTCCATCTTTAGTTTTCTTTTCTGTTTCTTTGGGTTTTTTTTGTAATTTTTCAGTGTTGTTTTCTTTGTCTTCTAGTTTGCATTCAATGCTTCTCGTTCTTTGAATAGGTCTTTGGTAATTGGTTGGCCTTTATAATTATCAGCTTTTCTCCCAGGCTTATTTTTTGTTACAGCATAGTTCGGAGTTGGGAATAGCTCTTGAAAAGGAGACCTAAATTTCTTAGCTTTGAAGTTTGCTAAAGGTATGTTGTCATCAGAACTGAAACTATCGCTATCTTCGATTTTTCCTTTAGAACAATATATACTAAGTGACATATAAATCCGAACACCCAGTTTAAATGGTTTTATTTTAATAAAAGTTGGTGAATGTATTTATCTTACTGTAAATAACAAGTGAAAAAATTTTCAGCCTTATCAGTTGGACATTCCGGTTTTTATACTGCTTTTTTTTAATTCACTAACGCTCTAAAAATGAATATTTCAGCCGCAGTAAAGAATCAACGTTGGCGGATTTTGGTTCTTGACATCCTTTACGATCGGTTACGATGCCTAGGGTACGGAGACCTATACGATTTCGTCAACTTAGTGAGTTTGATAGGGACCGTATAGTGGGACTTCGGGAAGCTGGACTTTCTTTTCGGGCAATTGCAGTTAGAGTGCAAAGAAGTGTAGACACTGTGGTTAGGAGAAGTCAGGCAAGGCTTCGAAAAGGCCGTACGCAAAGAGCAAGGGGCACTGGACGCCGCCGTAGAACAACAGACCGTGAAGATCGCCGCCTAAGATTATTGGCCTTAAGGGACCGTTTCTCCACTACCAGGTCCATTGCAAATGAATGGTTTGCAGAACACGGAAGACCTATTGGCATGCGAAGTGTTTACCGACGAATGAGAAGTTTTGGCTTGTTTTCATACCGGCCACACTGGGTCCTCCCTTTAACTCGAGAACACCGACGTAATCGCCTTGAGTGGTGCAGACAACGGTCACTCTGGGATCAGGAATGGAACAGTATTGTCTTTAGTGACGAGTCTCGATTTTGTTTAGGCATGCACGATGGTCGTGCCAGGGTTAGAAGGCGACGTGGTGAAAGGAGGAATCCACAGTTTTTTGTTGAAAGACATGTTCATCACACTGTTGGAGTTACGGTTTGGGGTGCTATAGCTTATGGTTCCAGGTCACCTTTAATCTTCATCAGAGGTAACGTGAACGCGCAGCGTTATATCCACGAAGTTCTAGAACCCCATCTTTTACCCTATCTTGACACCCTGGCAGATCCAACTTCCCAACAAGATAATGCCCGACCACATGTTGCAAGAGTCACAATAGACTTCTTTCAACATAATGATGTCACATTGTTACCATGGCCACCAAGATCTCCCGACTTATCCCCAATTGAGCACGTGTGGGATATGATGGGTAGGAGATTGCTCAATTTGCAACGTCCTCCTCAGACTCTAGAAGCACTTCGAGAGGAGTTGGTGGTTGCCTGGAATGAGATACCACAGGAGGACATTGAACACCTGATCAGAAGCATGCCTAGGCGCGTTGGAGAATGCGAAGCAAATCAGGGTGCATCCACACATTATTAAAGGTCAAAGGGCTTTAAAGCAGTGCAATCATTTTGAAATTTTTATCATTCACTTATTATGCTTCATTAAGTACTTATACAAAATTTTATTAAAATAAAACCATTTAAACTGGGCGTTCGGATTTATATGTCACTTAGTATATATTATCCATGGGCAGTGATGATTTGTTTGATGCCAATTTTGTTCTCTGCTGTACAATAGTCGTTTCAGTATCTGTCTCGGATTCTGAACTAGAAATCTCATGACGAAGATATATAGGAGACCCAGTGATGTCTTGAAGTGGAAGGTTGTGGTGACTGCATCGGAGTGACAAAGTTTCTACTAATGATCTGTATCTTCTTAGGTGTTGTTTCTACATTACTCAAGATCTTTTCAGATGACTGGATGATGTCTTTATGTTGTTGATTAGTATTAACCGTCAAGCCTTGCGGATCTGTGGCGCTTTGGGCAGAACTTTTTTAAGGTGAATGTGGAGCTTGCTCTAAAAGAAATGGAGAATCGCCATTGTTCTGAGGCTGCTCTTCTGGCTGATTGACCCAATCTACAGTTTGTCCGGAAAGTAATAGGACTGAGTCGATTTAAAAAAATTTATTGAGCCAATCGTTACAATTCTTTAAAAACTTTCAAAATAGGCTCCTTCCGCGTCGATGCAGCGCTGCCAGCGCGATTTCCAATCATATGGCCTTGAGAGCCGCGGTGCATGCTGCTTGGATTCCCTCTGGTCAGGTAGCTATTCACAAGAAAGGCGGTGTGAGCCGGGGCGATGTCTTGTCGGACCCGACTGACCCTTCGTTTGAGTCTCCTGGGCACTTCCACGTCCTCAAATTCATGGTGGACGATGCCTTTGATGTCAAAAAAGACAATGAGCATCGTTTTCACTTTGGATTTGCTCATTCTTCCCTTTTTGGGCGAGGAGACGCCGCAGAGTGCCACTCGGAAGATTGCCTCTTTGTCTCGGGATCATACTCAAAGATCCACGACTCGTCACCTGTGATTACGTTATTCAAAAATTGGGGGTCACTTTCACACATGTTCAAATTTTCTTGGCACACTTCCACTCGCCGCAATTTCTGGTCATCAGAAAGAAGGTGTTCAAAATGTCGTCCTCCACTTTCCACACAAGCTTCATTACGACGAACCCAGTTTCTTCTTACTCTAGGTCCCCGAAGTTGTCCATTTATCATTTCAGCCGCATTAAATTTTTTTCGCGAAGTTGTGCTTGTTGTTATTGGACCAGCCCCAAAAACCAGCCCTTTAAGTTCTCCCCAATACCAGAAATCCATCGGATTGAGGTCAGGAGATCTTGCTGGCCATTTTCTTGAATCAGGAGCATTTCGACCGATCCAGCGATTTGGATAATGTTCATTCAAATACAGAATGACGCCTCTAAAAATGTGTTGTGCCCCGTCATGAAGAAACCACAAATTCCGTCTCCGTTGTAATGGCATGTTATCAAATGTCTGTTCCAGAAGTTCTGGTAGATTATTGGGTAGAAAGCTAAGGTATCCTTCTCCTGCCAACTTTGGGGGTAACTCGAAAGGGCCAATTACCTGATCGTCAAGAATGCCCGCCCAAATATTTATTCTAAAACGTTGTTGGAAATGATCTTCACGAATGGTATGAGGATTTTCTTGGGCCCACGTGTGAGTATTATGGAAATTTAATATCCCGTCTCGCGTAAAAGTACATTCGTCCGTCGCTAGAATGTTTTTGTTCTGTATCTCGAAGTCTTTGGTAGACTTGCACAAGTGTCCTTCTGACTAGGTGACTCGTGTGTCGCGATAAATTTGAGCTGCAAGATGTGAATTCTGTCGATCTTCACCGTAAACTAACAACATGCCGGCGAACTCTTGATTCGAGAACATTGTAAATAAACACGACGCCGTACGCGTGCAATAACTAACCACTGTTACCGTTTGCGATCGATTGCCGGTTCGATAAGAGCGACGAATGACCGACGCGCTGCTGTCATGTGTGTTTTAAATATTTAATTTAATAAAACTTACTTACTGACTACAAATTTTGGCTTAACTCATTTATTTGATAATTACCCAATTTAAAAACGTTTTAGATTAGATTATAAATATTAGTAAGATAGTGGTGATTGGCACTTAAATTTGTAAACTATAAAGCGATCTAGACAAAAATCTATTGACTTTTGGACCATGAGTCATATGATCTTTTTGACTTGTTTTGACTCCCCGATTTACCAATTTCAATAATGACCGCCATAACCTTTACACCCTGTATAAATACGAATTGATGATATCAATTCAATTGATATACAAAATGATATTAATACGCGCGGTCATTCTTTGATAAGATAAAGTTTTGAGTGTCGTTTATATAGCTTTAGATTTATATCGCAGAACATCACTTATGACTTTGAAACTATCTATCGGCATTCAAAATTGGTATTAATAAAAGCAAAAATGAAGGTTCAAAGTTATTTAGCAGTGGTATTCCTGTTATTGGGATGTAGTTGTGCCGAAAACAGTGCACCTGTTAGCATAAGTGATGGATTCAAATTAAGGTAGTGTATGTGAACAAATATAAATATACTAAATGATATAGAAAATGTAACACCGACTAGGAGTGCTGTAATTTCAAATCTACTGATAAATAGAAAGTGATTAAAATTTTAACTCGAAATTTCTCAAAATAGCTGAGATATCCTTAATGTTAAGAATGTGTTGAATATCCTCTGATCGGATTAGGTTATTGATGTCTCCTTGGTGTATTGTATCCCATGTCATCTGGATTTGGTTTCTTAGAGCCTCCAATGTTTGTGGAAGGTGCGGTGAATTTTGCAGCCTTCTTCCCATCATATCCCATACATGTTCGATGGGGGAAGAGTCTGGAGATCGAGGAGGCCGCTAAAGCGCTTTATAGTGTTCTGTCCACGTACCCACATTTATTAAGTCCATACTGGCTTTATCCTTATTATGTGTTCTGAAACCTTTTAAAATTTTCCAGGCCTTATTGGTATTTCCAGCGCAGTTATTCACCTCTTCACATACTTCCTCCGAGTAATCGTTTTTTGCTTTATTCACTTCGTCGTATGCGCCTGTACTCTTCTCTATCGTTGCCTCTTTTTGTTGGGGACGTATCGTCTTGGATAGAATCCAATTTTGTGACTAATCGTAACTGATATAAGAATCTAGTTGAATCGTCTCTTAGACTATCCATGTTATAATGTATTTGATCAGTTCCAGTATGGTATACGGATTCAGGTGTTCCTTGATTTGGTCGATGGGGGGAGGGTCTGGAAATCGAGGAGGCCGCTAAAGCAGATTTACTTCGGGATCTTCTAAAAAGTCTAAACTGACACGTGCGACATGAGGTCGTGCATTGCCCTGCTGAAAAAGTCGAAGATATTGAACGTACATCACAGACGCTGGGATTGCTTTTATAGAGGATGACGAATGACATGCATGAAAATCAGATTATTGCTGCATCCAAAGAACTCAAGAATAAAGTAATGGCCGTCCCTGACAACATCACCTCGTTCGTAGTCAAAGATTATATTCATGTCTTTGTTAAGCGATTTTTGAATATATTCAATCTGACTATAGCAGCCAATACATTTCCTGATATTTGGAAACTTCCTAGAGCGACACCTATTTTTAAATCAGGGAATAGTACTGATATTAAAAACTATAGAGAGATGGCAACATTGTCAAATTTATCCAAATTGCTGGAGATAATATGGCATAATAGAATTTACTTCGCAGTTTACAGATTTCTGTCTCTTGTTCAGCATGGTTTTCTTACTAAGAGATCCACAGTAACTAATTTAACAATGTGTACTCAGTTTGCTATTGAATTTGTCAACTAGATGTAATACATATATACAGCTATAATGATTTTGCTAAAGCGTTCGATACGGTAGACCATGGAATACTTATAAATAAACTTTCTCGTTGTGGATTCCATTCCTCAGTTTTAGCACTCATTCAAAGTTATACAGGGTGTTTCAGTTTATTGTTGTATAACTTTAAGATTCGATAGAACCTTTAAAATTAATGCATAAAATCTATATAAACATGGGTCGAAAAATAGTTTTTTTTAAATATTTCGAACAATATTTGATGTATATCAGTGAAAATCGGTATACAAGGGTTTTTTGGTACGACCAAACGAACCATGGGCATAGTTTTACTGTAGCCGCTAGAGGGCGCTCTCTACTGTACCTGCAGTGTATAAAAATGACATAAAATTTTTTCTTAGTGCAATTTTTTGCTTTTTGAATAAAAAAAACTGATTCTTCGTACTTTTCTGCATAAAAAAGCTCTTCTGTGAGTTTTCGTTATAGTTAGCCGTTTTTGAGATATTTCGATTTTTAAGGTTCGATGCATTTTTAATTATTTATGGGAAAATAATATTTTTTTTACATTTTCGATTTGGGCATTACAAGTCATTAAGATGACCGTTTAGGTTGTGTTTTTAAGCACAGCAATAATTCCTAACTCCAAATAAACACAAAAAACATAATATTAATTTGTTTAATTTTACAATATTATTTTTAACAAATTAAATTAATTATTTACAACTAAAATGCTATTGTATAGTTAGGACAAGCATACAAAATCTAAAGTAGTTGCTCGAAATGTAAACCTAATTGTTTAATACACAATTCACATTATTCAAATAAGGCCTTATTTCATCACATGCATTCCTGATTCTGTCTATTAGCATATCTCTTGTGGTTACGGGAGTCTGGTACACTTTTTCTTTTAGAAATCCCCACACAAAGAAATCTAATGGATTTAGGTCAGGGGATCGTGGAGGCCAGGCGACTGGTCCTCCACGGCCGATCCATCTTTCTGGATAATTTTCGTCCAGCCAGTTTCTAACTATTCTCGAATAATGAGCTGGACAACCATCAAGCTGCAACCAGGCCAATCTTCTTAAATCTAACATAACATCATCCCACATATTTGCATGTTCAGCCTTTAAAAATTCCAAGAAGGTCGCAGCATTTAACCTTGCAGGCAAAAGGTAGGGTCCAAATATTCGATTACGGTAGATACCAATCCACACGTTCACACTAAATTCATGCTGAAAATTTGTTTCCCGAACTGCATGCGGATTTTCATGCGACCAAATATGTTGATTATGAAAATTTACCACTCCACGTCTAGTGAAGCATGACTCATCGGTCCATAAAACGTTACTTAAAAACTCCCTATTATTATCAGTTCTATCAAGAATCCACTGACAAAATGTGATTCTTCGTTCTCCGTCCCCTGGCTGTAGTCCTTGCACAGGTTGCAAATGGTAAGGACGTCTATGGTCATTTCTAAGAACACGGTGAACATGGCTTGCTGAAATTTCCAAGGCACCAGAAGCTCTCCTAACACTTGTGGTCAGATCTCTATCAAACTCACGCAGAATCATACGGGTAAATCTGCGCTGACGAACATTTATGTTTTGATCCCTTTGGAGATTTCCAAAACCATTTTCAATTATTTGGCGATGCACTCTTACAAATACTGAGCGAGTTGGATGTCGTTTGTTTGGAAATCTTCTTGCGTATTCTCTGGCTGCTTCTGCTGCGTTTCCATTTACAAAGCCATACACAAAATGAATATCCGCTCTTGATTGGATAATAAAAATGGCATTTTTATAAAACTTACAAAAAAAGGTAAAAGAAACTAAATTTCGTGCATTCACAATTGCAAAAAAACGTTTCAGTTTTCAACAGACAACAAAACTAACTGTCAACTAATTGACGTTTAACCTTATCCTGCTTTCAATTTCAAAAATATTTCTAAAAATTAACGTTATTTTATCATAAATAATTAAAAATGCATCGAACCTTAAAAATCGAAATATCTCAAAAACGGCTAACTATAACTAAAATTCGCAAGAGAGCTTTTTTATGTTGAAAAGTGCGAAGAATCAGTTTTTATATTCAAAAAGCAAAAAATTGGACTAAGAAAAAATTTTATGTCATTTTTATACACTGCAGGTACAGTAGACAGCGCCCTCTAGCGGCTACAGTAAAACTATGCCCATGGTTCGTTTTGTCGTACCAAAACACCCTGTATACCAATTTTCACTGTTATACATCAAATATTGTTCGAAATATTTAAAAAAAACTATTTTAGGAAGTAAATTTTAACACCCTGTATTTCGGAAGCCACGCATTTTTCGACCCATGTTTATATAGACTTTATACATTAATTTTAAAAGTTCTATCGAATCTTAAAGTTATGCAACAATAAACTGAAACACCCTGTATTTATGAAAGGAAGCAATATGTTACTTTCAATGGCTTCATGTAGTATGAAACTAAATCGGGAGTGCCTCAGGGTACCAATCTCGGTCCTTTATCGTTTACCTTATTTATTGATGATATTGTGCAATATTTAAGTTGTAATAAACTCCTATTTGTGGATGATTTAAAATTATTGGGGATTGTTGAGTCTGAGGATGATTGTATTGCACTTATGGTCTACTCACAACAACTACAACCATGAACCGATGTTTCGTGCTTTCTGAAAACTCATCAGCAAGGCTCGGTCTGTGGGACAACGACTGAAAGCATAGCAACTATCCTCAATTCTAGGCATGAGGTCAAACTAAGTAACTTCCGCAGTTATCGATCTTGATAATAGATGGTGGTATCTTATTTGCAATTGTTAAATAATATCGCCGGATTCGAAAACTCTAGCAATTTGATTCCGTTTTTTATATCACAGGAATTTTCAAGTCGATGGGCGTATCCAAGAAGTAGGAGCTATGTTACTAGCCAATGCTATCACTGGAGACTTAACGTAAGCTATTTTATTAAATATTTCTTACAAATTGGTTAAGGCTTTCGCGGCCAGTTGATAAACTGCTGTCTTGATTCGGATCTAAAGGCCCTCGTCGGTTGAAATTTCTTCCTAACGTTTCGCTAGCACGAGTGGCAAGCTTCTTCAACGGTCCTTCCATTTCCGATGCTGGATGTAGATGGACGATTTCTCTTGCGCAGGTTGTATTAGGTAACGTGGCTTGCTCCGGGGTTGAGTCTGAGGGTCTCTTCCTTCCTGCTGAACTTATCTGGATGTTTGAGGATCTCGATAGCTTCCCTGACCAGTCTATTGTGCTAGCCGTTTACTGATGACAGTAACCTGCAGCTCCCAAAGTGTATGCTGTGGTCCCCATTGCTTAGTGCATGTTCAGCTACCGCAGACTTCTCAGTTTGTCCTAGCCGGCAATTTGCTTTGTGCTCCTTGAGTCTCGTTCTCATTGATCTTTTCGTGATTCCAATGTATACTTTTCCGCATGAACATGGTATGCGGTAGACTCCTGCAGCTGGGAGTGGGTCCTTCTTGTCCTTTGCCGATCTGATGGTTTGTTGGATCTTCTTCGTAGGCGTGAAGATTGTTTTAATGCCATGTCTCTTCAGGACTCTGCCAATCCTGTCCGTGACTCTTGGCACAAATGGAAGATACGCTTGAGAGGTGGTGGGACGCTGTTTGGTTTCACGTGGCCTGGCTGATCTCGAGCCCATTGATCTATCGATGTCCCTCTTGCTGTAGCCATTTGCTTCGAACGCAGTTTTCAGGTGTTCAAGTTCGGTCTGGAGGTTCTCCGGTTCGCAAATCCTTCGAGTTCGTTCTGTCAGGGTTCTGATGACTCCATACTCCTGACTTGGGTGATGATTGGACAAAGCTTGCAGGTATCTGTCTGTGTGCGTTGGTTTCCTGTACACTGTGTGACCCAGCTTGTTACTTCGTTTCCTGACTAGTACATCCAAGAAGGCCAGTTGTTGGTCACTCTCTATCTCCATCAAGGATTCCACCGACTTTGTGCGCAAGATTTAGGACATGTAGTTGAACCTGACGATATCCTTGTGAGCTTCGATGCCGTTTCCCTTTTCACCAAGGTACCGCTGCAGGAATGCCTGGATCTGGTGAGCAGGATCTTCCCTTCTGACATCTGCAAGCTCTTTGAAATCTGTCTCACTGGAAGCTACTTCGTATGGGACGGGAGCTTTTATGAGCAGTCAGACGGAGTTGCAATGGGAAGTCCACTTAGCCCAGTCATAGCCAGCCTTTTTATGGAACACTTTGAGAAGAAGGCGGTTGAGACATCGAAGAACAAACCAGGAATTTGGTTCCGGTACGTGGACGACACCTTCGTGATTTGGAAACACGGCACGGACAGGCTAAACGAGTTTCTGCTGCACCTCAACGATCGGCATCCAAGCATACAATTTACCATGGAGATAGAAAGTAACCAAAAACTGGCTTTCTTGGACGTACTAGTCAGGAAGCGAGGTAACAAGCTGGCTCACACAGTGTACAGGAAACCAACGCACACAGACAGATACCTGCACGCTTTGTCCAATCATCACCCAAGTCAGAAGTATGGAGTCATCAGAACCCTGACAGAACGAGCTCGAAGGATTTGCGAACCGGAGAACCTCCAGACAGAACTTGAACACCTGAAAACTGCGTTCGAAGCAAATGGCTACAGCAAGAGGGACATCGAAAGATCAATGGGCTCAAGATCAGCCAGACCACGTGAAACCGAACAGCGTCCCACCACCTCTCAAGCGTATCTTCCGTTTCCAGGATTGGCAGAGTCCTGAAGAGTCATGACATTTAAACAATCTTCACGCCTACGAAGAAGATCCAACAAACCATCAGATCGGCAAAGGACCAGAAGGACCCACTCCCAGCTGCAGGAGTGTACCGCATACCGTGTTCATGCGGCACGGAACCACGAAACGATCAATGGGAACGAGACTCAGGGAGCACAAAGCAAATTGCCGGTTAGGACAAACTGAGAAGACTGCGGTAGCTGAACATGCACTAAGCAATGGGGACCACAGGATACACTTTGGGAGCTGCAGGTTGCTGTCATCAGTCAACGGCTATCACAATAGACTGGTCAGGTAAGCTATCGAGATTCACAAACATCCAGATAACTTCAACAGTAAGGAAGAGACCCTCAGACTCAACCCGATCTGGCACCCGATATTCAGAAACGCTCGAGCAGTGCCGATCGACATCCCGAAGTCAAACGAAGCGGAACAAGCCGCGTTTTTTTTTTTTTTGGTGAGGGGGAATACGTTTACGCACCATACCATAGCCCGAGCTACGGCGTGTGTGGGACTCCAGGTTGTCTTAAGGAGACCACCTAATACCCACTAAACCCTAACCTCCGCGTGGCCCGACTCATCAGCGTCTCGGTAGGCCATGTGTTGTGCGTGACCTGCGGTCTGCTACAACGTCTCCTCATGTGTTTCAGTCTCTGGGAACGCCGGGTTGGTTCCCTTTACCTCGCACATTCTATCGATGTCGTTAAGCGATCATCGATAGAGGGTCTGCTAGGTCCTCTTGAAACTCTTGTTTTCGAAAAATCAAGAGTTTCAAGTCCTCTTACCTATATATTGTTCCTGGTCCTGGTCCTGAAGGGTCCTGGTCCTGGTGGGTCCTGGTCGTGGCGAATCCTGGTCCTGGTCCCGGTGGTCCTGGTCCCGGTGGTTCCTGGTCCTCTGCATCCACGCCGGGGGGGGAGCAACCGCGGGTTCTCCTAGTCTCCTAGTCAAGGTTCCAGTTAGCGGGTGCCAACTGGGACCTTGGTCTAGGGTACCTGGTTCTGCGGTTGCGAGGCCTCTCGTCCGGATCGTAGTCCATGAGGAATCGTAGCTGCTCGTTCGGGTGGTCCTGAGCTTTCTGGAAGGTCTTCTCCGCTTTTTTCCTCATGTACTCGTGAATGGTGTCCCAATGCAGGTCTCTACGCAAGGTTGAGTTTCTTACGTAGGATGGTGCACTGGTGGCGATCCGGAGTAGCTTCATCTCTAGAGCAGCAAGTCGCTTGCGATAGCTGGGGGCAGCCTACCCCCAGACCGCGGAGGCGTAAGCGAGCTGAGGTCTGGCGATGGCCTTGATCAGCCGTAGCTTGGTCGCTAGCGGCATCCGGCTGTGTCTACCCAGTAATGGGTAGAGTTGAGCCATGGCTGCTCTGGTCTTTGCGATGACAGCTTCTATGTGGGCTTTCCAGGTGAGGGACTTGTCAAATACGATTCCCAGATATTTGACTTTGTCGCTCCACTCTGGATATCTTCGTCGAAGATGGATGCTTCGAGAGGTCTTGCAATCCTTCTTCGTTGAATGAAGATTGCCTGCGTCTTCTGGTCGTTGATGCGGATTTTCCATTTCACGCACCAGTCCTGGATGTGGCCCAGTTCATCCTGTAGTCTCCTACGGATGATCTCGGGTCGTCAATGCTTGGCGGCTATAGCAGTGTCGTCTGCATATAGGGCCAGCATTGTGTCAGCTGTCTTCGGTACATCGTGAGTATAGATGTTGTAGAGCAGGGGGGCTAAGGCTGACCCCTGGGGCACGCCTGCTTCCAGCTGTCGTCTTGTTGAGTGGCATGTACCAATCTTCACCGTGAACCATCTTTGTGTTAGATACAAGCCACGTCACCTAGCCTCCGGTATAAATACAACCTCCGCAAGAGAAATCATCAGCCTACATCCAGCATCGGAAATGTAAGGACCTCTGAAGAAGCTTGCCACTCGTGCTAGCGAAACGTTAGGAATAAATTCCAACCGACGACGGCCGACCCGAATCAAGACAGCAGTTTAAATATTTCCTCCTACATATTGTAACTCACACTTTCTGACAACTGATACATAATGTTTCTTCTTCAAATTCCAGCAAAGACAAAAGCATAATAACAGCTATAGTGGACGAATACACCGATAAGCTTTTCAACAACGTCCATAATTTTGCTATCAAAACTGGACTGGACCCCACACCTTTACAAAACATATCTCAAAAAGTGAGTATACTTAGTCTCGAGCATCTTGGCATTTGCGGATCCTCGAATTATCCGCATCAAACAGTTTTTTTAGATCTAATAAATGATAACCGCGAAATATTTATACTCTTGCCAGGCCTCAGTTGACCCAACATGACTCGGACATCACCATTGCATAGCGATGTGCTTCCTACTTCATTTCGACGAACGAGTTCAAAGGTAGCGTTCACTAAAATGAACTAGCTCCAGGAACCATTATTTGGGCGTAAAGAATAAACTAACGCATATTTTCAATTCAAGCAGTTGGTGTAACATATTGGCAATGCTGCAAATTGCCGCGCCAGCGTTGCTAGGCAACGCGGTGATCAGCTTCGCTATCCAGCCGTCTTCTTTCTCTTTCTAACATATGTGTCTACACACACTTCAATGTCGTATACATTGAACTTAAGCCGTCAGAGAAATTTTGTTCTCAGTGTATACATGTATTCTAACAATCTCAAATAATATGGATTACACTTTTGTTTACTGTTTTTACCAGTTTAGGAATTTTTGTATAAACAACATACAACTTTGATTGGAGGTGATGGAGAACAAACAGTTCTCTTTTTTAGTATCGCAGACTAGAAGCCGATAAACAAATTGTTTTTAAATGAAAGTCTGTAATTAATTTAGTATTGTTTTAATTTTTTCATTAGCCTAAATGGATGATACATATGTTGTATGAAATTCAGCTAATTTTTATTTCTCACATCCATTGTAACTAACAGCTTCTGTTATCCATTTTGATATTCTTGAATTAAACTACGACCGTATCCAAGCAACCAGTTACACAACCTTCTGCTTACTTGGTTGCCGGCGGTGGTGCCGCAACGCTTAGATCATCGGGAACCTGTAATACCAGTCCTTCATGGCAAACGAGTTTTTTGAGGAATGATGAACTGGATCACTTAGTTCAGTCATTAGCAACGTTCTATTGAAGTAGTTCGCGGACTACACACCACTAACACGCCTAGATTTAGTCCCCCACTCATGCCCTTCGCTCCCGGCGAGTAATCTAAACTGAATCCAAATTCAAGATGAGATGTAAATAATAACAGTTAGCGCGTGATCTCTCGGTAACAGGTGGGGACAACGCCTCTTATTGGTCAATTCGCCATTAAATTTCAAGCGGCCGCCTGGCGGAATAATGCGCGGGGCAGGGGCAGGGCAGGCAGAGTTGCATTCAGGTCTCCGTCCGTCGCGTGTATCACTGCGTGCTCGTGTTTTCGTATTCACCTTGCTTGGTTGTTGCTGTATGTTGTTGTTAAGTGTATTTGAGTAATTTGTTAAGTTTCTGTTTCTGTTAAATACTGTCATATTTGTTTTACAACACGTTGGTGGTAGTCCATCATTCAGAGGTAGCCCTGAATGCGGCCCTGTACGCCGTCCTTGCTTTTGGCAATCACGCATCCATTCTATCTTGGGTGTAAATACACTATAGGTGGATCCACTGATCGACAATCTGAATGAAATCAACTCTCGGAAGGTCAACTATTCCGTGAGCCAATTTGCAATTTGTTAGTGTGGATCATAGACGAAAATTCTAATTCTACCGAGATTCTGGTTGCTGATAGTACACACCGCTCGCTATACTTTAACTTGACCCGCACGGGTATCATCTAAAAATCCTACAAAATGTCAAAAAAACCTGTAAGATGTCAACTTACAGACTAGGTAGTTTTTAGGGCACAAACAGTCATTCCACGTTTGCTCACTAGGATCGTTGTTAACATCCATCTATAGAGGAATCACTCAACTAAACTGCGCATTATTGGTTGCATAGTTTCGTGAGGCTAGGTGATCCGGGTCTGTAGTTTTTATCTCTGAGAAGAAAGTTGGTTGAATAGTAAGATCATTACTGAATATGCCAAATATGATGGGTTATTTATATGTTGTGCTTTCTGAAGAGAGGTTATGTTCAAAGTTATAAATTACAAAAACATGAGGAGAATTACGGAAAATCATCGCGCCCGCGGTGTGTGTAATTAGTGTTAGCCTGTATATGGCTTGTAATTCGACGGTGTACAGTGAATATAATTATTTCTTATCTGTCTCATTTTTGAAATTCAGCAAATTTGTTTATGTAATTTCCAGAATGGATAAGAAAAAGTGGATGCGCAACTAATTTCTAGCTTTGACTCTCAATTAAGTGTATTTGAGACAAGAACCCAATGTAATTATCATCAACACATACAACTTACAGCTTAGACCTCCGGTAATGCCATCTCAGAAGCAGATTTTAGATCACATCAGAGCCAAAGATTGATAACAAGGCTGACGTTTAGGCAACACGTACAACTAAGTGCTAAGTTAACATCTTGTAGAATAACCTACATGATGTCGGCATAATGTTAATTTTCAAAATACGCACTTCGTATCTTGAAAAGTGACATTATGGCGATTTTTTTGACATTGTATTGGTTTTTTGTGGCATTATGTAGGTGTTAATTTAGGACTAGCTGATGTACACGTTGTGAACTCTTTTTGTAGTTGTACGTGTTGCCTAAACGTCCTGAGACTTCAGTTATCAACGTTTGGCTCTGATGTGACGTAAAATCTGCATAAGAGATGGCACTACTGGAGGTCTAAGCTGTAAATTGTATACTATAGTCTCAAATACACTTATTTGAGATTCAAACGCTACTTTTTCTCATCCATTCTGGAAATATTCAAATTTGCTGAATTTAAGAAATGAGAGGGATAATAAATAATTATATCCACTGTACACTATCGAATTCCAAGTTGTATATATGCTAACAGTAATTACACACAACGCGGACGCGGTGATGATTCCCGTAACTGTCCTCAAAGTTTTTGAAAACACGAAAAAAAAAACGTAAAAAATCGTAATTTATAACTATCCTTCAGAAATAACAACATATAAATATCCCGTCGGGCACAGATAGTAGATATACTTCATTGGCAGCATATTCAGTAATGATTTTCTCACACAGCAAATATCACTGATTTTATACGCATGCAGACCAATACAGATGCGATCTTGCTATTCAACCAACTTTCTTCACAGAGATGAAAACTACAGACTACTTGGCTCCACAAATCATATGCAACCAACAATGCGTGTAGTTTTGTCATTCCTACATAGATGGATGCTCATAACGATCCTAGTGAGTAAACGTGTAATGATCCTAAAAACTACCTACCTGCAAGATGACATCTTATAGGTTTTTTTTTTGACGTTTTATACGTTTTTTTACATAATATCCGTGCCGATTAGCAAGAATAGTCTGAGGCCCGCAGCGCGCAACTGTGGACGTGTACCTTAATGCATTTTCTTGATTGCTCTTTGACACTTGTTTTTTTTAGTTTTTAACTGAACGCGTTACTCTAAATCACGGATTTTTGCATGGAATCTCAACTTTGCAAAGACTGAAGACTGCGAAGCTGGAGTATAGCCACGATAAGAGGGTTTTGACTGTACAGTTCCCTATAGTCTTCTCCAATTTGAGCGTAAGTATTCACATAATCGTATTACCACTTAACGATTAATTAGAGTCCATCTACTTGATAAGTTGAGTTAACAGGAAGCTCTTCAAGACCAAAGAACGTATACTTCTTAGCTTAAAAAGTGGCGTCCTGTACTTATCATCCACTTGATAAACGACGGCAACGTTGCTATCGGAATGGCGATGAGTACTATCTGCCATCTGTGCACGTATTTATCCTCGAATCGACGAATCCAGCAGCGTTCTAGACAGAACTCGAGTCTTCGCTGGTACATGCCTCGACGTTCTCGAATTGGTTATCTAAGCGTCGGTGTCACGAGAGAGTCTCTTTATCACTTGGAGTTCTAGCTACAAGGGCGTTACATTATTGAATACTAATATATATATATATATATATATATATATATATATTACTAAGTGACACATAAATCCGAACACCCAGTTTAAATGGTTTTATTTTAATAAAAGTCGGTGAATGTATTTATCTTACTGTGAAAAAATTTTCAGCCTTATCAGTCGGACATTCCGGTTTTTATACTGCTTTTTTTTTAATTCACTAACGCTCTAAAAATGAATATTTCAGCCGCAGTAAAGAATCAACGTTGGCGGATTTTGGTTCTTGACATCCTTTACGATCGGTTACGATGCCTAGAGTACGGAGACCTGTACGATTTCGTCAACTTAGTGAGTTTGATAGGAGCCGTATAGTGGGACTTCGGGAAGCTGGACTTTCTTTTCGGGCAATTGCAGTTAGAGTGCAAATAAGTGTAGACACTGTGGTTAGGTGTTGTCAGGCATGGCTTCGAGAAGGCCGTACGCAAAAAGCAAGGGGCACTGGACGCCGCCGTAGAACCACAGACCGTGAAGATCGCCGCCTAAGATTATTGGCCTTAAGGGACCGCTTCTCCACTACCAGGTCCATTGCAAATGAGTGGTTTGCAGAACACGGAAGACCTATTGGCATGCGAAGTGTTTACCGACGAATGAGAAGTTTTGGCTTGTTTTGATACCGGCCACTCTGGGTCCTCCTTTTAACTCGAGAACACCGACGTAATCGCCTTGACTGGTGCAGACAACAGTCACTCTGGGATCAGGAACGGAACAGTATTGTCTTTAGTGACGAGTCTCGATTTCGTTTATGCATGCACGATGGTCGTGCCAGGGTTAGAAGGCGACGTGGTGAAAGGAGGAATCCACAGTTTTTTGTTGAAAGACATGTTCATCACACTGTTGGAGTTATGGTTTGGGGTGCTATAGCTTATGGTTCCAGGTCACCTTTAATCTTCATCAGAGGTAACATGAACGCGCAGGGTTATATCCACGAAGTTCTAGAACTCCATCTTTTACCCTATCTTGACACCCTGGCAGATCCAACTTTCCAACAAGATAATGCCCGACCACATGTTGCAAGAGTCACAATAGACTTCTTTCAACATAATGATGTCACATTGTTACCATGGCCACCAAATCTCCCGACTTATCCCCAATTGAGCACGTGTGGGATATGATGGGTAGGAGATTGCTCAATTTGCAACGTCCTCCTCAGACTCTAGAAGCACTTCGAGAGGAGTTGGTGGTTGCCTGGAATGAGATACCACAGGAGGGCATTGACCACCTGATCAGAAGCATGCCTAGGCGCGTTGGAGAATGCGTAGCACATCAGGGTGCATCCACACATTATTAAAGGTCAAAGGGCTTTAATGTAGTGCAATCATTTTGAAATTTTTATCATTTACTTATTATGCTTCATTAAGTACTTATACAAAATTTTATTAAAATAAAACCATTTAATCTGGGTTTTCGGATTCATATGTCACTTAGTGTATATATATATATATATATATATATATATATAATTGCTTAAATAATCTTAATTTTCTTCTAGTTCACCTACGACTATGAGTTGACCTTCGTTTTAATAAAGCACACTGGAGGAATGACCGGAAAGATTAAGAACTTTACGATGGATTTGGTTTTGCAATTTGACTTCAAGACCTATCATGCAGCCTTACTGAAGGCATCAGTACTCAGAACCGGGTAAATATAATAATAAAACATTTTTTCAATTATTTCTATCAGAATTACTCAACGGAGTATTTTCAGAATCACGAGCCATATTGAAGATTGCGGCTCCTTAGTTGACTTATTTGAAAGAGGTAGTCTCAAAATATGATATCAATTCCTCAAATTTATACAGGGTGTAAACGTTATGATAGTCATTATTCAAATGTGTGACAGAAGGGGTTGAAAGAAGCAAAAAGTTTCATATAACATCTTTTTTAGAGAAAAGCGACTTTAAAGTTAAATAAAATCTGGCAACGCCGCAATGCCAAACGCAAATTACAACGGAACGCAGTGTAAATAAAGATGGAGTTTGTTATTTTTGGCACTTAGGTATTATATCATTATTTGATAATGTACTCATAAATGCAAACGATTAAAAAAACGGATTTTGCTTTTCTTTTTAAAAGCCACACTGCACTTTTTTTGTATTCAAAGAAGGTGTTCAAAATGTCGTCCTCCACTTTCCACACTAGCTTCATTTCGACGAACCCAGTTTCTTCTTACTCTAGGTCCTCGAAGTTGTCCATTTGTAGCCCAGCCCCATAAACCATCCCTTTAAGTTCTCCCCAATACCAGAAATCCATCGGATTGAGGTCAGGAGATCTTGCTGACCATTTTCGAGGATCAGGAGCATTTCGACCGATCCAGCGATTTGGATAATGTTCATTCAAATCCTGAATGACGCCTCTAAAAATGTGTGGTGGTACCCGGTCATGAAGAAACCACAAATTCTGTCTCCGTTGTAATGGCATGTTGTCCAAGGTCTGTTCCAAAAGTTCTGGTAGATTATTGGCTAGAAAGCTAAGGTGTCCTTCTCCTGACAACTTTGGAGGTAACTCGAAAGGACAATTACCTGATCGTCAAGAATACCAGCTCAAATATTTATTTTAAAACGTTGTTGGAAATGACCTTCACGAATGGTTTGAGGATTTTTTTGGGCCCACGTGTGAGTATTATGGAGGATAGTCTTCTGGTAACAAGGCCTGCACTCGTTGTTCATGGTAGGGATGAAGCAAATTTTCCCGTAGGATTCTATGGACTATGGTATGCGATATTCCTACGCGCCGGCCTAATTCCCGAGTGCTGATATCTGCATTGATTTCTACGATATGTTCCTCCTGCTGTACAGTAACCTGCCTTTCACGAGTGCGAATATTAGTGCGCTGAACACTTCCTGTATCTCGAAGACTTTGATACACTTGCACAAATGTCTTCTGAGCTGTAAGATTTGAATTCTGACGAGCTTCAACCGTAAACTAACAACATGTCGGCGAACTCATGACTCGAGAACATTGAAAACAAGCAGGAGTACGCGAACAAAAACAAAAGACGCCCGATGCCCGATAACTAACCACGGTTACCGTTTGCGATCGATTGCCGGTTCGATAAGAGTGATGACAACGCGCTGTTGTCAAGTGTGTTTTAAATATTTAGTTTGATGAAACTTACTGACTACAAATTTTGGCTTAACTTAGAAAAACAAGGCATTTATTTGTTAATCACCCAATTTAAAAACGTCAAATTAGTAAGATTGTGGTGATTATATTTAGACAAAAATCTATTGACTTTTGGACCATGGGTCATATGAACCTTTTGACTTGTTTTGACTCCCCCTATTACCCATTTCAATAATGACTACCATAACGTTTACACCCTGTATAGATCATAAAAATGATGTACCAAGTCCCCAAAAGGATTGAATTTTTTTTCAAACTGTGGCAAAAATATTTTTCTACATGTTGAATCCTTAGATCACAAACAAAATGTTTGACATCGATGAACCGAGCAGTTTCTGAGTTTCAATGCATCCATTGACAAATGATGAAAATGTCGTGGTACATGGAATTCCGCACTACTTAATATGTATATTATACAGGGTGTTTCAGTTTATTGTTATAAAGTCTATATAAACATGGGTCGAAAAATGCGTGGCTTTCGAACTACAGGGTGTTTAAATTTACTTTCTAAAATAGTTTTTTTTTAAATATTTCGAACAATATTTGATGTATAATAGTGAAAATTGGTACAATTGGACAAAACGAACCATGGGCATAGTTTTACTGTAGCCGCTAGAGGGCGCTCTCTACTGTATTAAAATGACAGAAAAATTTTTCTTAGTGCAATTTTTTGCTTTTTGAATAAAAAAAACTGCTTCTTCGCACTTTTCTGCATAAAAAAGCTCTCCTGTGAGTTTTCGTTATAGTTAGCCGTTTTTGAGATATTTCGATTTTTAAGGTTCGATACATTTTTAATTATTTATGGGAAAATAATATTTTTTTTTTACATTTTCGATTTGGGCATTACAAGTAATTAAGATGATCGTTTAGATTGTGTTTTTAAACACAGCAATAATTCCTAACTCCAAATAAACACAAAAAAACAGAATATTAATTTGTTTAATTTTCCAATATTATTTTTAACAAATTAAATGAATATTGGATGCTATTGGATAGTTAGGACAAACATACAAAATCTAAAGTAGTTGCTCGAAATGTAAACCCAATTGTTCAATACACAATTCACATCTACGAATGATCGAACGTGGTATAGCATTATTCAAATAAGGCCTTATTTCATCACATGCATTCCTGATTCTGTCTATTAGCATATCTCTTGTGGTTACGGGAGTCTGGTACACTTTTTCTTTTAGAAATCCCCACACAAAGAAATTTAATGGATTTAGGTCAGGGGATCGTGGAGGCCAGGCGACTGGTCCTCCACGGCCGATCCATCTTTCTGGATAATTTTCGTCCAGCCAGTTTCTAACTATTCTCGAATAATGAGCTGGACTACCATCAAGCTGGAACCAGGCCAATCTTCTTAAATCTAACATAACATCATCCCACATATTTGCACGTTCAGCCTTTAAAAATTCCAAGAAGGTCGAAGCATTTAACCTTGCAGGCAAAAGGTAGGATCCAAATAGTCGATTACGGTAGATACCAATCCACACGTTCACACTAAATTCACGCTGAAACTTTCTTTCCCGAACTGCATGCGGATTTTCATGCTACCAAATATATTGATTATGAAAATTTACCACTCCACATCTAGTGAAGCATGACTCATCGGTCCATAAAACGTTACTTAAAAACTCCCTATTATTATCAGTTCTATCAAGAATCCACTGACAAAATGTGATTCTTCGTTCTCCGTCCCCTGGCTGTCGTCCTTGTACAGGTTGCAAATGGTAAGGACGTCTATGGTTATTTCTAAGAACACGGTGAACATGGCTTGCTGAAATTCCTAAGGCACCAGAAACTCTCCTAACACTTGTGGTCGGATCTCTATCAAACTCACGCAGAATCATACGGGTAAATCTGCGCTGACGAACATTTATGTTTTGATCCCTTTGGAGATTTCCAAAACCACTTTCAATTATTTGGCGATGCACTCTTACAAATACTGAGCGAGTTGGATGTCGTCTGTTTGGAAATCTTCGTGCGTATTCTGTGGCTGCTTCTGCTGCGTTTCCATTTACAAAGCCATACACAAAATGAATATCCGCTAACTCTTGATTGGAGAATAAAAATGGCATTTTTATAAAACTTACAAAAAAAAACAGGTAAAAGAAACTAAATTTCGTGCATTCACAATTGCAAAAAAACGTTTCAGGTTTCAACAGACAACAAAACTAACTGTCAACTAATTGACGTTTAACCTTATTCTGCTTTCAATTTCAAAAATATTTGCAGGCACAGCCTACTTCTAAAAATTATCGAGATACTGACTTTTTAGCGTTATTTTATCACAAATAATTAAAAATGCATCAAACCTTAAAAATCGAAATATCTCAAAAATGTCTAACTATAACGAAAATTCACAAGAGAGCTTTTTGATGTTGAAAAGTGCGAAGAATCAGCTTATTTATTCAAAAAGCAAAAAATTGCATCAAGAAAAATTTTTCGGTCATTTTAATACACTACAGGTACAGTAGAGAGCGCCCTCTAGCGGCTACAGTAAAACTATGCCCATGGTTCGTTTTGTCGTACAAAAACACCCTTGTATACCAATTTTCACTGTTATACATCAAATATTGTTCGAAATATTTAAAAAAAACTATTTTAGAAAGTAAATTTAAACACCCTGTATTTCGGAAGCCACGCATTTTTCGATGCATGTTTATATAGACTTTATGCATTAATTTTAAAAGTTCTATCGAATCTTAAAGTTATGCAACAATAAACTGAAACACTCTGTATAACAAAAAAACTTTTTTCAGATCAATCACATTGACGTTCCAAAAAAACATAGTTGACATAGTGCTCAACATCATGTCCAACTTTGTGACACTAATACTGAAACCAATACTAGTAGTGGCTATCCAAGGAATCGTCGCTGTAGTTGCTGGTAAACTGGTAACTGTCACAAACCAGGTGATTGACCATTTGATTCATCCGAATGCAACTCAAGTCGCTTACGCTGCTAGCACTTTATTACATTAAGTTTGATTGATGCTGAAGACCCGTTTTCGACTAATAAAGAAACTTTGATATTATGGTATTTGCTTTATTTATCCTTCTTAAGGACTGTTTTTAAAAGAAGACCTGATATTGCTGAAGAAATTAAAAAAATGATGATGGGTGACGGGTGTGTTTTCTCACTGAATCGACTGCTAAAGAGTAAAATCGTGTCCAGAAAGGCTAAATTGAGGATATATAAAACTACCGAGTTGTCCAAAACGGACGCAGGAAAGTAAACGCATATTAAAACAAGAAAGATTGATATTCAAGTCAAGTTGGGTACTTTATTTTGAAGGTTCATTTATACCATTTATGTATGAAAAATAATATCGCTCAAATGTTCACCACGACTGGATTTACAGACTTCCACGCGATGGTCGAAATTTTCAATGACATTTTGCAACATGGTCGGTTCTATGGCATTTATCTCGGCAATGATGTTGTTTTTGAGTTCTTGGGGGGTGGCCGGTTTGTTGACGTAGAGTATGCTTTTCAAATATCCCCATAAAAAGAAGTCCAAGGGAGTCAAGTCGCACGATCTTGGTGGCCATGGCACATTTCCTCTGCGCGAAATCACGCGATCACCGAAGGAGGACTGCAATCGATGGATATTGATGTTGGTTGTGTGGCATGTTGCACCGTCTTGTTGGAAATAAACACCGTCCATATCCATTCCTTCAAGTTGCGGCAAAAAATAGTCCTCTATCATCACGTGATATCGCTCAGAATTGACGGTAACGGCGTCCCCGGCAGCATTTTCGAAAAAGTAAGGTCCGATGATGCCTTTTGACCACAATGCACACCACACAGTCACTTTTTGAGGATGCATCGGCTGCTCTTGATACTCACGGGGATTTTCGTTCGCCCAGATGCGCCCAGTTTTGCTTGTTTACCGTCCCATTCAAAGTGAAATGCGCTTCGTCGCTGAACATGATTTTTGATGAAAAATTGGCATCAATTTGGCGGTGTTCAAGGAGCCAATCTGAGAACGTTCGGCGCGAAAAATGGTCGGCCCGACGCAGCTCTTGCGTCAATTGGATCTTGTAGGCGTGTACATTCAAATCCTTGTGGAGAATGCGGAGCAAACTGGTTCTCGAAATGCCCAATTCTTGGGATCGACGCGTTGTTGATTGTTTCGGATCGTCTCTCACACTCTCCTTCACAACAGCAATATTTTCCGGTGTGCGAACGCTCCTTGGCTGGCCAGAGCCTGGCAGATTTGCCACAGAACCTGTTGCCTCGAATTTACGCACCAGACGACCGATGGTTGTTTCGTTTGGGCGGTTGTTGCGACCATTTTTGTAGTGCTCCTGAATAACTTTAATGCGGTCTTCAATCGAATACGACTCCATAGCGATCAATGGTAAACATTCAACTAACAAAATGACATGTCGGTGACAGAAAACAAAGATGGCGTCTATGTCAAATTGACGTTTACTTTCCTGCGTCCCTATTGGACAACCCTTTATTATAAGACCTATTGTCGTCTATGGCAGTGGAGTAAGGACTTTAAATAAAGCAGGACAAATATGTAGCTATTTGGGAGAGAAAAATCTTACGCAAAATGTTCGGTGGGAAGCGGGATTACGGTGGATGGGTGCTTAGAATGAACAAAAAATTGCAATCCTTGTATGGTGAACGTGATATAGAAGGAACAATGAAAGCTCAAAGATTAAGATGGCTGGGACATGTTCAAAGATTGACGGAAACCAGAATACCAGAGAGGGTGCTAACAAGTATTGGTGAGGTTACATACTTATTTGAAGTTTTCTACTTGAATCTGGTTTAGCTGCACCCTTCTAATCACAGCCTCTCATTACGTGAAACCTTGTATATCTCGCTCGGGGAGTGTATCTATTAGAACACCTTCGTACTTAATGGTAATTTTGAAGTCCAACAGGCAGATCAAGGGCGGATTCAGGATAACGTCTAGGGGTGGGGCGCAAACGATGTTTGGGGCTGGTCATTTTTTAACCTCAGTGTAACTTCTAGAATTTATCCTATTATTGCTTCTTAAATTCATTGTGTTCTATCTGGTCAAGGCCAGCTTGAAAAGAAAAACATGGAAATTGCTCAGAAATCCTCAAAAAGGCAATATTTTATTATATGAGAACAAAATAAGTACGTGGCATGTATATATTTTTTTTATATATCGAAACAGCCGCGCAGGCAGAAGCCTAAATGCTGGAACACCGCGGCTGCTATGATGATCCCAAAGAAATTTTGTTAATACGATTTTTGAACTGCCTAAGGTTAGTAGAACTGGGAAAAGCTTCCTCCCGTAGATTTTTCCACAATCTAGACACCCTCGGGACAAAAGAGCGGTCATATCGGCCAGTTCTGGATGTACGAAGCTTGACACGGTTAAGATGGGACGCCGAAGTCAGGCGGGTCTGTCTGGCAGGCACATCGCGCGGCGGCATCATGGAAGAGAGCTCTGAGGAGCAAAGCCCGTTGGTGTAGCGATAGAAAAGCGCTAGATCGCCGACGACCCGCCGGTGCGAAAGAGTTCCGAGACTGTCTGTTAGAGAAGAGTCATCGATCAGTCGGACCGCCCTCCTCTGGACAGCATCGAGCATGGACAATGTAGTCGGGGCGGCAGCAAATGTGTGAGCAATACTCGAGGCTAGGCTTTATCTGGGCCTTGTATAGAGTGAGAAGGTCATGCGGAGAAAAGTACTTCTTAGCCCTAAACAAATAGCGTAGCTTTTTCCCAGCAGCTGCAGCTATTGAAGAGATGTGTTCGTGCCAGATCAGGTCCTCGGTGATCTGGACTCCGACCAGCCGAAATGAATGGCTCTTTGGTAGAACTCGACCGTCCATCGAAACTGTATGAGCGCTAGGACGCTTTTTGTTCGTCAAAGTACAGTACTGTGTTTTGGAAGCATTGAACTGTACAAGATTGTTGCGTCCCCAACCAGTGATAGCCTCCAGGTATCTTTTCAGAGAAGAAGTCGTCGCTAGTCTTCTTTTTTCCAGCTCAGCGGCAGAGATCGGCTTGTCACTCTGAATTCCTGCATGTAGGGTGCTATCATCGGCGAAGCTGTGGATTGGGTTGATCGTGCAGGAAAGGAGGTCGTTGATATGTAAGAGAAACAGTGTTGGAGCCAAGACCGATCCCTGGAGAACACCCGCGTTGACGTTGTGGGATGAAGAGGAGAATCCGTCAATTACGACGGATATCTTGCGGCCAGAGATAAAGTCAGCCACCCATCTGCAAAGCTTTTCTGGGAGGCCGTAGGATGGAAGTTTGCTTAAGAGGGCAGCGTGCTACAGCTGATCGAACGCTTTCGTGATGTCAAGAGCAACGACATGAGCCTCACCATGAGACTGGATGAGTTTACTCCACAGTTGCGTAACGTAAGCTAGGAGGTCCCCTGTGGATCGTTGGTGCCGGAAACCATACTGCCTGTCGCTAATCAAGCCGTGACGTTCGAGGTAGTCCAGAAGCTCGCGATTTATGCACCTCTCCATCACTTTACTTATAACAGAAAGCAGAGCTATAGGCCTGTAGTTGTAAGGGTCGGTCTTAGATCCTTTTTTTGGGATGGGCTGTACATGAGCAAATTGCCAGTTTTCTGGGAAGGTGCCGGATTCATAAGATATCTGGAAGAGACGCGAAAGAACTGGAGCAAGCTCCGCTGCACATCTCTTCAGTACAATGGCAGGAATCAAGTCCGGACCAGAAGCTTTGTTGATGTCGAGCGACAAGAGCACTCGTCTTACGGTCTTATGCCTGAATGTTACCTCCCGCATAGTGTGGGGAACCCTTTGAATTGACGGCACTTGGGCGTTGGTGGGGACGTCCATGGTGGAATTGGCAGCAAAGATCTTGGCTAGCACTTCCGCCTTGGCCTTTGAATCAAATACAATAGTTCCATCCTGACACGTAAGTGGTGGAAGGCTACTGTGTGAGTTCTTTTCAATCTGCTTGGCCAGCGTCCAGAAAGACCGACTGCCATTGCGCTGCGACATTACCCTGTGCCTAACTTTTATATCATGCTGGTTTTTGGCATTGCGAAACGCTTCGTTATATTTGTTTCTGGATTCGACGTCGGCTTGTCTGTTCTCTACAGTGGGGTTTTGTAAGTAGGTTCTGTGGGCCTTGATCTTCTGCTGGCTAGCAGTGTCACACGATTTGTTGAACCAGCCGTTGGACCCTGGTTTAGGTACTTTCACTGTGTGAGGGATGTATTCCTCCATTCTGACGTGGATAATTTCGGTTATTGAAGAACAGAGAGTCGACGCATCCGCGTCAGTGAAACAGACATCTCTCCAAGGAAAGCTAGAGAAGAAGTCTCTGAGCCCCTCCCAGTCGGCATGTCCGTAATGCCAAGTTTTGCGGCTTGTGCGAGTTTCTGCTGCCACAGCGGCTTCCGACCGAAACCTAACCTCCACAATACCGTGATCTGAGTTACCCAGGGGGGACAGGACAGCAGTACTGTAAGGGGCAGGATGCGTGGTCAGAAAGGGATCCAGCAGGCTACTGGCGGGCGATGAGACGCGGGAGAAAAAAGTAGGGCTCGTCACCAGCTGGGTCAGCCCTTGAGTAAGAGCGAACGCTTTGACTGCACGACCTGCTGCATCGGTCTTATTTGAGCTCAACCAAAGCTCATTATGGGCATTGAAATCACCGAGAAGAACTACCTCTGAAGCGGGATGATTGATGTTCAGGAAGTCGATCTGGACGGCGAGGTATTCGAGTAGGTCATCCCAGTTATGATTCGAGGGAGAGCGATAAAGGCAGCAAATAAATTTGGGTGATGTTTTGGAGTTGAGGCGAAGCCACAGAATGTCCTTCCGGTCTGATTCCAAAGAAAGATCCCTGGAGCAGGAAAGACTGCTGCGGACAAAAGCCACAACTCCCCCGTTCTTTCTCAGATTGGAGTGCACCTCGTAGTTTGGGACGTTGAGATGGTTAATCGGTGCAGTCTCTGAGATTTTTGTCTACGCCAAGAAAAGCACGGCGGGACGATTGGATTGCAGGTAGTGATGAACAGCATCAATGTTGCTGTTGATCCCGCAGGTGTTCGAAAAACAAATTTTATCTTCGATGTTGTTCCCTCGAGCCCACCCTCCACCCGGACATTCCGAGAGTAGAGTGAGTTTACGTCCGGAGTTTTTAGTACTCGAGGGATCCATCATCATTAATTTCTTTGTTTTGGTAGATAACCGACTGCATAGCTTAGGTGTGGAAACATGCGGACATTTATAAGACACCCTGGGAAAAGCTAGCGGGTGGTACTGCCTCGGTCGACTGGTCCTTGTCTACCACCTTCTTTTTACGTGTTAGTGATGTTAAATAGACCTAAAGTGGCCCATTGGCGGACTTGTACCGCCACCCGGCAATCGGTACTGAGGTATTCCTTAACGCGTGCACAATCACTTGGACGGGAAGAAGTTGTATACTGGATACAACAACTTCCGGAACAAGCATTTACCACGGCCCTCGCTCAGTAGGGCTAATTAACTAGATTCAAACATAAAAAACTTCATTGCAGGTAACAACAAAAAAAACATTTTGAGGGACTCCGAGACATGTCCCAGTCCATTCCACACAATACAAACGAACACGACACGGTTAGGATGGGAGGTCAAAGTCAGGCGGGTCTGTCTGGCAGCCACATCGCGTGGCGGTATCGTGGAAGAGAGCTCTCTGAGGAGCAAATCGCGTTGGTGTAGAACAGAACATTTTTGTAAAAAAAAATGTATTTATTTTTCAACATAATCTCCTTTGAGCTCTATGCACTTTCCCCAACGATGTTCAATAATTTCGATGCCCCTTTTATAATAAGAACTGTCCTGCTCATTAACTGCCGACATCACTTCTTCATCGTTGGAAAATCTTTGACCACTGAAACAGAAAATAATCCGAGGGGGCTAAATCTGGTGAATAAGGTGCATGAGGTAGCAATCCAAACTTTAATTCGTTAATTTTGGTCATTGCAATAACGGATTTGTGAGCTGGTGCATTGTCTTGATGAAACAACACCTTCTTCTTAACCAAATGCGGTCGTTTTTGCTTGATTTCGTCGCTCAAACGTTGCAATAAGTTCGCATAATACTCGCCGTTGATAGACGCGCATCCCAAAAAACCGACGCCATAGCCTTGCCTGCAGATGAAACGGTCTTCGCCTTCTTTGGAGCGGTTTGTCCCTTTTGAGTCCATTATTTTGATTGTTCTATTGTCTCGGGTGTGAAGTGATGGACCCATGTTTCATCCATGGTTATGAAACGACGCAAAAATTCTGCTTTGTTGCTGTGAAACTTCGCTAAACGCTTAATTGAAACATCTTCACGTCGCTGTTTCTGCTCGATTGTGAGCAATCGCGGCACCCGTCTTGCACACAGCTTTTTCATGTCCAAATTTTCAGATAATCTGCGATGAAGTGCATTTTTTTAAATGCCTACTATGTCTGCTAGCTCGCGCACTTTCAGTCGACGATCACTCAGTACCGCTTTCTGAATTTTCTTCACGATTTCTGGAGTCGTCACCTCATTTGGTCAACCACTGCGATGCTCGTCTTGGCAGCTCATACGGCCTCGTTTAAACTCTGCTACCCAATATTTTACTGTTGTAAACGAAGGAGCAGACTCAAGCAGAATAGAATCCAGTTCAGCTTTTATATTGGTTGGGCTGAGGCCTTTGAAATAAAAGTATTGTACCACATAACGATAACCAATTTTCTCGATTTTCACCAATTCACTGAAAACGTTCAGTATTGATGGCTGCCAAACAAATACTAAACAACGTGGCGTCTTCAAACTTGAAACATATGCTTTATAGGTTGCATACTTTCTAATACAATGATATTTTTCAAACAACTATCGCCATCTCTAGGTCAGGCCTGGCACTTCTGGGACCACCCTCGTATGTTTCTACGAAACAAGTACAGGAATATAGGGCTGTACATATTCACGTGTATGTGATTTAAACGAATTCAATATAGCAACATAAATAACATACGCGAGAAGAGCATCGATCGACGCAGTTTCTAGACAGGCCACAGGCGCACCGCTAAACAAATCTCATAAATGTCTATTTCCAATTCATTTAACATAATGCTTAGCTGCAACACCAATCCCGAACAAAATCAGTCAAGCTATACACACTTTTCAAATTACTATTGAGCAATAAACAATATACGTATAAATCGTAAGAATTGTGATGTAAACAAGTGATGTCAAAGAGGATCAGCATTTGGATTTGGAATACCAAAGGATACCAAAAAATCGCAATGCTCAGTTCCTATAGCTATAACTTATTTTGTCGCCATGATGTGTCAGAAAGTAAAATAATGGTGTTAGATTACAAAAGCAAGTGCCAGACGTCTAGGGGGGGGGGTCGCGCGACCCCCTCGTCCCCTCTCTAAATCCGCCACTGAGACAGATTATGATTTCTTACGTAATAAGCTTACGAGTTTATCTCTAGTATTATGTAAGAAACCTTAAAAAACGTCAAAAAACCCGACAAAATGTCATCTCGCGGACTAGGTAGCTTTCAGTGTGCCACGTTCGCCCGCTATAAGATCTGTGAGCACCATCAAAAGCGTCCATCTATGGAGGAATTACTCAACGACACGACATGCATTGTTGGTTGCAGAAAGCACAGTAGTTCTATGGTGTTTATCTCTGAGAAGATGTGACAAAAAGTTGGTTCAGTAGCTAGATCGCATCTGGATGATTATGTGTATTGATCTGTGTATAAAATCAGTGATATTTGCTATGTTTGAATTGAAATAATTTTAAATATAAATAAACAACTTCGCTAAATTTTGTTCAGTGTTATACTTTTTTTGACATATGGATCAAGTAGAAGCATAACTACATGCAACTATATGCACTATAAACAAAGACAAGTACTATTATTATTATTGCTAAATGATTTTTGCAAACATTAAAGTACTCCTAACCCACAGATAAGCTCACTTCATTTTTTTTGTCGGGCTTTACGTAGAAATGATGATTAAATGCTATTATTTCACCAAGTCATTCATAGACTTCTGACAAAACATGATAACTGATTAGATTTGTTATAAGTAGCTTACAGTCTGGAATATAACGGCTAATAACCCAAAAATAGTCGCATATGTAATATTATCGTTTGTTTTATAACATCATGAAGGTGCACATACTATTTCTTGCAACTCTCAGTTTAATATGTTCTACTATTGCAAAACAAAGTGCAGATGTCATCAACAGCGAAAATGACAAACTTTTCGATGCAGAGTAAGTTATCCTACCTATAAAGCTTGTTGAAATCTATTTGCAAAATATTATTAGATCGTCGCCACATAGTAGAGTTACAAAACGTTTAAAACAAGTATAATTGCTGTTTTAGGAAGGACAATACCATTCTCAAAGCGATTGTGAACAAATACGCAGACAGGTTATTCGAAAATATTCACAACTTCGCTATCACACATGGCTTGGACCCGATGCCTTTGCAAGATTATACCAAAAAGGTAATAAATGCCACAGTTAGCATCATAAGAAGTGTAAATTAGTGTAAATGGCAACACTGGTTCGATGCTGCCAATCCAGAGTTATGTCGTTTGTAAAGCGGGAAACGGAGGCTGAGGGTAATGTAAGAGAAACATTGTCGGAGCCAAGACCGATTCCTGGGGAACACCCGCGTTGACGTTGTGGGATGAAGGGGAGAACCCGTCAATTACGACGGATATCTTGCGGCCAAAGATAAAGTCAGCTACCCATCTGCAAAGCTTTTCTGGGAGGCCATAGGATGGAAGTTTGCTTAAGAGGGCAGCGTGCCACGGCAGATCGAACGCTTTCGTGATGTCAAAAGCAACGACATGAGCCTCACCATAAGACTGGATGAGTTTACTCCACAATTGCGTGACGTAAGCTAGGAGGTTCCCTGTGGATCGTTGGTGCCGGAAACCATACTGCCTGTCGCTAATCAAGCTGTGACGTTCAAAGTATGTCCGTAATGCCAAGTTTTGCGGCCTGTACGAGTTTTTGCTGCCACAGCGGGTTCTGACCGAAACCTAACCTCACAACACCGTGGTCTGAGTTGCCCAGGGGGGACAGGACAGCAGTGCTGTAAGGGACAGGATGCGTGGTCAGAAGGAGATCCAGCAGGCTACTGGCGTGTGACGAGACGCGGGGGAACAAAGTAGGGCTCGTCACCAGCTGGGTCAGCCCTTGAGTAAGAGCGAACGCTTCGACTACACGACCTGCTGCATCGGCGTGGTATAAGCCCAACCAAAGCTCATTATGGTGATTTCAATCACCGAGAAGAACTACATCTGAAGCGGGGTGATTGATGTTCAGGAAGTCGATCTGGACGGCGAGGTATTCGAGTAGGTCATCCCAGTTATGGTCCGAGGGAGAGCGATACAGGCAGCAAATAAATTTGGGTGATGGTTTGGAGTTGAGGCGAAGCCACAGAATGTCCTTCCGGTCTGATTTCAAAGAAACATCTCTGGAGCAGGAAAGACTGCTGCGGACAAAAGCCACAACTCCCCCGTTCTTTCTCAGATTGGAGTGCACCTCGTAGTTTAGGAAGTTGAGATGGTTGGTCGGTGCAGACTCTGAGATTTTTGTCTACGTCTAGAAAAGCACGGCGGGATGATTAGGTTGCAGGTAGTGATGAACAGCATCAATGTTGCTGTTAATCCCGCAAAACAAATTTTATCTTCGATGTTGTTCCCTTGAGCCCACCCTCCACCCGGACTTTCCGAGAGTGGAGTGAGTTTACGTCCGGAATTCTTAGTGCTCGAGGGATCCATCATCATTAATTTCTTTGTTTTGGAAGATAACCGACTGGATAGCTTAGGTGTGGAAAGTGAGACAATCCTTCGCTTTCCCTTATTCGGATAAGGGATCTCCTTTAGTTACGGGAGGGCTTATTACGTAAGGTTATTGTTTCTTTATTTAGCGCTGGGTAAGCTCAAATAAAATACCTTCAATTTATTAAGATTAATTGGTTAAAACATAATATAAATATGAGTTTCAGATGACAGATGAATAATAATAATCTTTATTGCCCAACAGTCTTTCAATTACAGGCAAGGGGGTTGCCAAAGTATCGAGTCTTACATATACTAAATGACATATAAATCCGAACACCCAGTTTAAATGGTTTTATTTTAATAAAAGTTGGTGAATGTATTTATCTTACTGTAAATAACAAGTGAAAAAATTTTCAGCCTTATCAGTTGGACATTCCGGTTTTTATACTGCTTTTTTTAAATTCACTAACGCTCTAAAAATGAATATTTCAGCCGCAGTAAAGAATCAACGTTGGCGGATTTTGGTTCTTGACATCCTTTACGATCGGTTACGATGCCTAGAGTACGGAGACCTGTACGATTTCGTCAACTCAGTGAGTTTGATAGGGGCCGTATAGTGGCACTTCGGGAAGCTGGACTTTCTTTTCGGGCAATTGCAGTTAGAGTGCAAAGAAGTGTAGACACTGTGGTTAGGTGTTGTCAGGCATGGCTTCGAGAAGGCCGTACGCAAAGAGCAAGGGGCACTGGACGCCGCCGTAGAACAACAGACCGTGAAGATCGCCGCCTAAGATTATTGGCCTTAAGGGACCGTTTCTCCACTACCAGGTCCATTGCAAATGAATGATTTGCAGAACACGGAAGACCTATTGGCATGCGAAGTGTTTACCGACGAATGAGAAGTTTTGGCTTGTTTTCATACCGGCCACACTGGGTCCTCCCTTTAACTCGAGAACACCGACGTAATCGCCTTGAGTGGTGCAGACAACGGTCATTCTGGGATCAGGAATGGAACAGTATTGTCTTTAGTGACGAGTCTCGATTTTGTTTAGGCATGCACGATGGTCGTGCCAGGGTGGGAAGGCGACGTGGTGAAAGGAGGAATCCACAGTTTTTTGTTGAAAGACATGTTCATCACACTGTTGGAGTTATGGTTTGGGGTGCTATAGCTTATGGTTCCAGGTCACCTTTAATCTTCATCAGAGGTAACATGAACGCGCAGCGTTAGATCCACGAAGTTCTAGAACCCCATCTTTTACCCTATCTTGACACCCTGGCAGATCCAACTTTCCAACAAGATAATGCCCGACCACATGTTACAAGAGTCACAATAGACTTCTTTCAACATAATGATGTCACATTGTTACCATGGCCACCAAAATCTCCCGACTTATCCCCAATTGAGCACGTGTGGGATATGATGGGTAGGAGATTGCTCAATTTGCAACGTCCTCCTCAGACTCTAGAAGCACTTCGAGAGGAGTTGGTGGTTGCCTGGAATGAGATACCACAGGAGGACATTGACCACCTGATCAGAAGCATGCCTAGGCGCGTTGGAGAATGCGTAGCACATCAGTGTGCATCCACACATTATTAAAGGTCAAAGGGCTTTAAAGCAGTGCAATCATTTTGAAATTTTTATCATTTACTTATTATGCTTCATTAAGTACTTATACAAAATTTTATTAAAATAAAACCATTTAAACTGGGTGTTCGGATTTATATGTCACTTAGTATACATAAACATACCGTAAAACCAAATTAAATGAGAAAAAGGAAATCAGTTAATGGATGTAAAGTATAAACAATAATTGAATAAGCGAAAAGTACGAAAGTACAACAAGAAAAAAATAATTTACGATTTTTTAACCTCTAGAAAATAATATAAAGCAGACATTTACAATAAACATGTAGTGAAAGTTAAATGCCAGACATATTAAGAGAACGACACCCCATTTATGTGCTTTCTTTGTCCAAGTACAAACGACCACAATTCAGCATTTCTGAGCTACTATCAGCATTGTATGTATTGCTAGTGCATGAAGGTATAAGGTCTCCTCTATCTGTGGTATGTCACTCTCCGGTCTTCGTCAAGCATTTTTCTCACAGCAGTAATGTTTTCCTCTGTTACTGACGTTCGCGGCCTTCCTTCCCTCTCAGCGGAATTCTCTGTACCAGCTGAATATAGTCGTACGATGAAGACAATCATTCTTTAATGCAAGCGCCGTTTCTTCTAAGCACTATGCTTAAACCACGCGTAAAGTTGTACCGTAAAACTGCCCCTGTATCGCTACGTGACCACGATTCCGGAGTACGCACTTTACACTGTTAATACGAATGAACAACTAAATAATTGATTCCCAAAGTGGTCTATATCGACCCCTAGGGGTCTATGACAACCTACAAGGGGTCTATGTCAGCGAAAAAAAATTTGGTGCTCCATGAAATGAATGTGGGGGTCCACGATAGTGGATCTCAACACATACACTGATAGTACCTATTTACTTACATCATACTATCTTATAATATCAAAACATATACATTATTTATAAAAGTACCTATGAAGTAAAAAATGTATTATATATGTTTATAAAATTGTGTAAGTTGTAGGATGTTGGTATTCGCTTTGTGGTCGCAATACATTTTGAACTTGTAAAAACCTGAGAGTCGCAGTCTCAGAGCTTCGCTTCCTTGCACTGACTTGTTCAATTCGTCACTCTATAAATACGAATGTGGGACAAATACGTTTATTCGTTTCCTGAATCTTGAAAAGAAAAGTGCTAAGAAAGTATTTTAAAAAATATAAACAGATAGTATATCACACAAATTATAGTGAGTCAGTGTTATTTTGTTTGAGAGTGCTGGAGAAAAGTAAGTACATTATTTTTTATTAAATTTTAGTTTTGTACTCGTAGTTAGCAAAGATATATAGATAAATTACGCCAATCATGACTTTAGTTATTAGTAGTTAAATATTCAATCATGCAAAATTACACGAGTACTCCTCAATAGTTTCTTTTTGAAAGTTTTAGCAATCGGTAATATAATTACAGTGCAATCTCCGTAATTCGAGCTAATTGTTGCAAGAAGATGTTCGAATTATGGAATGTTTTCGGTAAAATCAAAAAATATGTTTAATATACAGCTGCTTGATTTTCTGTCTTATTTAAATCATTTAATTTTGCCCACAGATGACTGATGCCATGTCCGAATCTAAAAAGAAATGTAGACAGTACAGTGTTGATTATTTGAAATTTGGCTTCATTTCATCATTGCCGGACAAACAATCGCCTATGTGCCTTTTATGCAACAAAGTTTTGGGCAATGACGCTATGAAACCATCTAAACTGCAAGATCATCTGAGAAGATGCCACCCTGATAAAACAGAGAAAGAGTTGAAATACTTTCAAACACCCAAAGATAAATTTCAGAAGAGACCTACACTGGACAGAATGTTCGCTTCGACGTCACAAAGAAATGATGATGGTTTGCGGGCGTCTTACAATATCTCGTTACTTATAGCAAAATCCGGAAAACCGCATACTATCGGAGAGAAGTTAATTTTGCCAGCCGTTGAAGAGGTTTTAAAAACTGTTTTACACAAACCTGCATCTGATATCATTAAAAGAATTCCCTTAAGCAACAATACTGTTGTAAGACGTATTGATGAAATGAGTTCTGATATTGAAAGCTTCTTATGTAATTATTTGCAAACGACCCATTTCTCTATACAACTGGACGAGTCAACTTTACCTGATAATGCAGCATTATTATTGGCATATGTTCGTTTTATTATGAATCAAGAAATCTACGATGAACTGCTCTTCGCAAGAACTTTGATAACCGACACTAAAGGTGAATCAATATTTCATGTTTTGAAGGATTACTTCATTGAAAAAGCAATTCCTTTACCAAATATAATATCAGTAGCTACACATGGAGCACCTGCCATGGTTGGACGTTATCGTGGATTTATAAGCTATTTAAAACAAAATGTGTCAGGGGTGTTAGCAATACATTGCGTCACCCATCGACAACACTTAGTTGCTAAAAATTTGAGTGTTATATTGCATGAATCACTTCATTTAGTCATTGATGCAGTAAACCGAAACCGAAGCAACGCGTTGAATACGCAGTTATTTGCGCAGTTGTGAGAAGAAAATGACGAACACTTTCATCAATTACTCCTTCACACTGAAGTACGCTGGCTGTCGAAAGGCTTATGTTTGACAAGATTTTTTGCACTTTTTGAGACTATTTTAGAATTTCTGGATACTAAAGATAAAATTTTAAAAGAAACTTTAATGAAGAGGAAAACAGACATCGCCTATTTAACAGATTTGTTTACAAAATTTAATATGGTTAATTTGCAATTACAATGCGACAGTTTAAATTTGATTAAAACAAAGTCCATCTTATCAGCGTTTCTTGCCAAAGTTAAACTAATGAAGCAAAATATTGGACTTGGAATTTTCTCAGTTCCCCAATTTGTCACAGACAAGCTGCCAGGAAGACGACGTTTCAAATTACGTTCAACATTTAAATGCCCTCTATTCAGATTTTGAATCTAGGTTTGAGGCTATTTTGACTATGGTAATACCACCGTGGATAATTAATCCATATGGTGACATAGAAGAAACGAATGTCATAATACAAGAGGAACTGACTGAACTAAGTACAAGGTTCAGTTTAAAAACGGATATCAGCAATTCTGGCTGCAAAACAACATACCCGTTACTTATCCCGTATTATGGAATATAGCGAGGAAATTTTTAATTTCCTTTCCATCGTCATAACTAGTGGAAAGGGGGTTCAGCGCTGTTACCAATCTCCTAACAAAAAAAGAAACAGACTGGACATCATTAGCCGAGGAGATTTAACATTAACCCTTACAAAATTGACGCCAAATGTTGATAATTTATTTTTAAATCATCAGGTTCATCCTTCTCACTAAAGATATTGACTTATGTTATTTTATTTATAGTTTATTTTATGTTTATTGGTGTCTGACCAATAAATACCCGCATTGGGAATAAGTGCCCGCATTGATTTTTTTAAAGAACCCCTCTTTATAGAAAATATTTTTTTTAAATTATTCTGAAAATTCAATTATAGGTACACACTAAACTTCGTTAATTTTTTGCCTATTTTTAGATAACTCAAACGTATAAGAAGCGGAATTTAATCAAACTAACAGTGAAATTATTGTAGAACATACGTTTATGTTATAATTAATAAACGAACTCGCTTATTGCACTATTTTAAGTAAAAAACTTTTTTTTTATTATTTTTCACGTTTTTTTTTATCTTATCCCTCTTATTTTTTTTCAATGCGGCCACTTATTCCCAATGCGGGCACTTATTGGTCAGACACCTGTTTATTTAATGTTACGTATATTTTACATAACAGATACAAAATTTTATTTTGAGTAGTTTTAATTTAAATTCAATTAATAAATGTATAAATTAACATGTGTTTTTACTTTAAGTTTTCAACACTAAACTTCACTACAGTTAGAAATTTACAGGAAATCAATATCAGGTAAGTAGGGGGTCTACCCAACACGGAAAAACATGGCAAGGGGTCTACAACACAAAAAAGTTTGGGGAACTCTGAACTAAATCAACAGATGGCTATTATTTACTCACTGACATCTCTCAACATGCAGTAACATGTAGCCCCCTGCGTCCGTTTGTTAAGTCATATTGCAAAACTTTTATAGCACCCTTTGTATAGACTTATGTTTTGTGCAGGAACTTGGAACACACGTAATTTTGACTAATGGTACCTTTAACGGCGTTTCAACAATAAAGAGAGATGGCGATGTGGTACTGACGTACAATCACAACAAAAGGGTCTTAGATGCCCAAGCTCCGATCCAGTTTTCAAACCTGTCCGTAAGTACATTTCAAAAGTATGTGAATTAACAGGTATATTCCTCTCTGTAGCCCATTTTCTCACCTGTTAGTTGTAATATACTCCATCAACCAGGGATTTTTTTAATTTCGTTTTTGAAATTTAGCAAATTTGCATGTGTAATTACCAGGATGAATAAGGAAAAGTGGATGCGCAACTAAAAAAAATTTTTTTCTAAAATCTTTTCAAGACTTTCTCCAATGTATTTCCGTACCATATACTTAGAAGATCCTTTTTTCAGTTTCATTACCACTTCGATGTTGGAGTAGGACTAGTTAAGGAAAAAGGCGGATTTACAGGACTTATGAAGAATTACAAAGTGGTTGTTAACCTGGAGTTTGACTTCAAAACGTACCATGTGAAAGTGTTGAAGCTAAGCTGGGCTTACGGGTAAATATCTCATATACTAAGTGACATATAAATCCGAACACCCAGTTTAAATGGTTTTATTTTAATAAAAGTTGGTGAATGTATTTATCTTACTGTAAATAACAAGTGAACAAATTTTCGGCCTTATCAGTTGGACATTCCGGTTTTTATACTGCTTTTTTTTAATTCACTAACGCTCTAAAAATGAATATTTCAGCCGCAGTAAAGAATCAATGTTGGCGGATTTTGGTTCTTGACATCCCTTACGATCGCTTACGATGCCTAGAGTACGGAGACCTGTACGATTTCGTCAACTTAGTGAGTTTGATAGGGGCCGTATAGTGGGACTTCGGGAAGCTGGACTTTCTTTTCGGGCTATTGCAGTTAGAATGCAAAGAAGTGTAGACACTGTGGTTAGGTGTTTTCAGGCATGGCTTCGAGAAGGCCGTACGTAAAGAGCAAGGGGCACTGAACGCCGCCGTAGAACAACAGACCGTGAAGATCGCCGCCTAAGATTATTGGCCTTAAGGGACCGTTTCTCCACTACCAGGTCCATTGCAAATGAATGGTTTGCAGAACACGGAAGACCTATTGGCATGCGAAGTGTTTACCGACGAATGAGAAATTTTGGCTTGTTTTCATACCGGCCACACTGGGTCCTCCCTTTAACTCGAGAACACCGACGTAATCGCCTTGAGTGGTGCAGACAACGGTCACTCTGGGATCAGGAATGGAACAGTATTGTCTTTAGTGACGAGTCTCGATTTTGTTTAGGCATGCACGATGGTCGTACCAGGGTTAGAAGGCGACGTGGTGAAAGGAGGAAACCACAGTTTTTTGTTGAAAGACATGTTCATCACACTGTTGGAGTTATGGTTTGGGGTGCTATAGCTTATGGTTATATCCACGAAGTTCTAGAACCCCATCTTTTACCCTATCTTGACACCCTGGCAGATCCGACTTTCCAACAAGATAATGCCCGACCACATGTTGCAAAAGTCACAATAGACTTCCTTCAACATAATGATGTCACATTGTTACCATGGCCACCAAGATCTCCCGACTTATCCCCAATCGAGCACGTGTGGGATATGATGGGTAGGAGATTGCTCAATTTGCAACGTCCTCCTCAGACTCTAGAAGCACTTCGAGAGGAGTTGGTGGTTACCTGGAATGAGATACCACAGGAGGACATTGACCACATGATCAGAAGCATGCCTAGGCGCGTTGGAGAATGCGTAGCACATCAGGGTGCATCCACACATTATTAAAGGTCAAAGGGCTTTAAAGCAGTTCAATCATTTTGAAATTTTTATCATTTACTTATTATGCTTCATTAAGTACTTATACAAAATTTTCTTAAAATAAAACCATTTAAGCTGGGTGTTCGGATTTATATGTCACTTAGTATATTTAATGTAAATAATTTTGATGAATTTTGGATAAATCATATTTTGTTTGGTCAACGGAGCTAATCAACCGTATGTTTATTGCCAGTAACAGTTATGTCCATTAGAGGATTGAATGCAATATTGGAATAGAATGAGTATGGCCTGATTTTTTATGGTTAACTTTTAAGCTTAGTAATCAATGCCTGATTTTTTTGCTAGTATCTTTTTGGATACACTGTTTTTGACAGATGACGCGTGAATCGTGTCTTGTGTCATTGTCAAACTTGTTCAGTTTGGTATATAATTTAACCATGAATCGACTTATGAACGAACAACGCTTGCAAATTATTGAATTTTACTATCAAAATTCATGCTCGGTTAAGAGAGTGCATCGAGCACTGCTTCCAATTTATGGGCAATTTGGTCGGTCTACTGAGGGAGCTATTCGGAAGCTTGTGACTAAATTTCGAACCCAGTTTACATTATTGGATATTAAGCCACCAACACGCAGACGTAGAGTCAGCACTGAAGAAAATATTGCGGCTGCATCCGCCAGTGTTAGTGATGACCGTGAAATGTCGATTCGCCGCCGTTCGCAGCAATTGGGCCTCTGTTACTCCACTACGTGGAAAATTGTGCGACAGGATTTGGGTGTAAAACCTTATAAGATACAGCTGGTGCAAGAATTGAAGCCACACGACCTTCCACAACGTTTCCAATTTGGTGAATGGGTGCTGGCAAAGTTGGAGGAAGATCCACAATTTTATCGAAAAATTGTGTTCAGCGACGAAGCTCATTTCTGGTTGAACAGGTACGTTAACAAGCAAAATTGCCGCATCTGGAGTGAAGACCAGCCAGAAGCATTGCAAGAGCTACCAATGCATCCCGAAAAAGTCACTGTTTGATGTGGATTATGGGCCGGTGGCATCATCGGGCCGTACTTCTTCAAAGACGACAATGGCCGGAACGTAACTGTGAATGGCGAGCGCTACCGTGCGATGATAACAAACTTTTTTTTGCCCAAAATGGAAGAGCTGGTCTTGGTTGACATGTGATTTCAACAAGATGGTGCCAGATGCTACACCGCACACGAAACAATGGCCCTATTGAGAGGCGAGTTCGGTGAACAGTGTATCTCACGTTTGGGGCACGTCAATTGGCCGCTTAGATCGTGTGATTTAACGCCGTTGGACTATTTCTTGTGGGGCCATGTTAAGGCTAATGTCTACAGAGATAAACTAGCAACGAGTGACGCACTGGAAGCCAATATTGAAGCATTTATTCGTGAGATACCGGCCGATATGTTGGAGAGAGTGTGCCAAAACTGGTTCTTGCGGATGGGCCATCTAAAGCGGAGCCGCGGCCAACATTTACATGAAATAATCTTTAATCGTTCTATCGACTCAAATAAAGATTTAATCGTTTTTTTTCAAAATTTTTGTGTTTTTTTGAAAATCAAATCCTGTACCTCATAAAAAATCACCCGTTATAACTTCTAAGTTCACTATTGGTTGTCCGTAAACTAGTGTCTCAATCTCTGGTTAACTAACACGTTATGGTTGATCTGGCAACGCTGCCTCTATATCTGGAATATCGTGTTTTTTGAGGCTCGATTTAAATGTGTCGTGTCATCCAGGACCTTTCATGTAACTGTCATGCTAGAAAGGTTAGGCGTTGCGTAGCAGATGGTCTTCTGGCTAAAGTTAACTACCATTTTAGGACAAACCTGGCATTGAAAAAGACATTATAACAGTTTACTTTTCATTAGCTGTAAAATCACAGTTAACGTGCAATTAAAAAATCGTAGATATACATCAACTTATTCATTTTTTTTGCAGCCAAGCAGATATCCGCTTTGATGGAAACGTTCTAGGCATCATAGCAAATACCATAGGCCACGTTGTAGCACTTTTTCTAAGTCCATTCGTTATAAATCCAACATTAGCAACAATCGTAAACATTGTGCTCGTTAAAGTAGCTTCAATTGTGAATAAAATAATAGACAGGTTTTTGCAGCGCAATTCTACCGATGTTGTGGGTTCCCTGATAAAATCTTTATATTAGCTTCATTTATTTTAGTTTCATTACGATGTATTTTGTAATTAAATAATATTGAAAAATTAGGAGTTTCTTTTTAAAAGCTCTTTGGTTTCACAATCTTCAGCGGAAAAGAGGTCTACCCTCAAAATTACTCTACGTTCCTCGGAGATACCTACCATGTGAAGTACAGTACCTACTCAGGAGGAATATTTTATTAAATTTTCAGGTAAATAAATAACAGGCTAACATTTGATATGATGGTAGTTAATAGTAACGGGAACATAAATTAATTCGCAACCCTCCTAAAAAATTGACGGTCTGAAAATATTACCGTTTAAATCTTCCGTGTGTAGTCCGTTTACTGTCCCACTGTTTTCAAGCAAAATGGCTCCTAATGATCATGAGTATACGAGCCCCTTCCCACTTCAGTTGGCCCAACTATTGAAATATTAGTTTTTTTCTTATCAAACACAAATAATAAAAATGTAGCAGGGTGTTATAGGTTTAAAATAGTAACCATGAATATTTTGATAATATATAGTAGAAAACACCAACTTTATCACTCCCTAATCAAATTTGCAGCATAAAAATAACACATGTTGCAATTACAGCATATCAACCTATTTTCATTTCAATGCAAAATAAGTCTATAACGCATAGGTGGCTGTGAAAAATAAAAGCCATGACAATTGTTTTTATTAATCACAGCTGTCAGAATACGTTTAAAATAGTTTTGGGTAGTTAAGGTTTTCAAAATGGGTAGAGGAAAGGTTATTAGTGAGAAAATTCGGTTACTATAATAATAATAATAATAATAATAATAATATTTATTCACTCAATGTACAAAGATAACAAACAATATGAGTAAATAAATATAAAATCAAAACAGGTCCAATAGAAGGCATCGCCTGTACATGGACCAATAATTTAAGTTGAAACTGTAGAATGCAAATGACAAAAAAGGACAAAAATTAGCTACAGTAGATTATGTATTTAGTTGATGTTCGTATTTATGAGTTTATGAATTTCAGTCCTAGATATAGAATGTAGCCACTTTTTTAAATTTCTTTTGAAACAATTTCCGAAACGTAAATCTTTTAAGTCTTTAGGTATAATTTCATAAAATTTAGGCGCTAAATAGAGATATGATCGCTGCATTATAGATTTATGCGGTTGAGGAACTACTGTGCCATAAATTTTGTATCTGGTATAATGATTATGTTTAATTTTTTGGTCGGTGTTTACAAATTTATGGTAGTGAGTGATACTGTGTAAGAAATAAAGCTGTCTTATATCATACATTCGAACATCTGCGTATAATTTTTCAGTGGGATAAAGTTTCGGTTTTTTAAATATCATTTTTAGAATACTTTTTTGAAAAACATCTAAATTATAGATATGTGAGGAACATGCAGCTCCGCATGCTAATATACCATATGTGAGATGAGGCTCAATCAGTGCATGGTATAATGTTCGAAGATATTTTTCTGTCAATATATTCCCAATGTATTTAATTTTGTAGGATACAAATCTAACTTTCTTTAAAATATAATTGACATCGATGTCCCATCGTAAGTGAGGATCCAATACCACTCCAAGGTATTTTATGTTGGGCACTCCATTAATTTGTATTTTTTGATCATTAATATTGAAGGAGGAATTTGTGTAATTTGGCAGATGTCTAGCATAAGATCCAAATGGTAAAAAATGTGTTTTAGAGTAGTTAATGCTTAATTTTCTACTGTTAAACCACTGAATAATTTTGATAAAATCATTTTCAATTACATTTTTCAGATCAGAGCAGTCAGTGCCTTCATATAATATTGCAGTATCATCTGCAAAACTAGTTATTTTGCCAACACAATTAATTTGGAAAATATCATTTAAATATATATTGAATAACAGCGGACCTAAGACAGTTCCTTGTGGGACACCACACTTAATATACATTTCTTTACTAAATGATCCTGATATCTGCACAGATTGTGGGCGATTTGACAAATAACTTTCGATCAGTGAGTACGCGTTTCCTCTGAAACCAATTCTCTCCAATGCTTCTAATAATAATGTGTGATTAACTGTGTCGAAAGCTTTCTTTAAATCAACAAAAATGCAGATTGAAGGGATTCTGTTATCAATATTTTGATGTATTTGATTTACAATTTTAGTTATTGCGTCCGATGTAGCCTTCCCTTCTGTAAATCCATATTGATTTTCACTTAAAATTTTGAATTTTGTGAGGTATCGAATCATTCTAGTAGATAAAACTTTTTCAAAAACCTTTGCTACACTGGATATTATTGATATTGGTCTATAGTTGTTAACATCTGTTTTTGTTCCTGATTTATGTATCGGTATTCTATTACCTTTTTTTAAAATTGAGGGATATATGCCAGATTCAAAGCATTTGCTGATTAGGTAAGTGAGTGGTTCTGTTATGTCCTCGGCTATAATTTTCAAATGCTCGCTTTTAATACCATCGAACCCAGGACTTTTCCGATTTTTTAAGGACATAACAGTGGTGTAGACTTCACATTGCTCGACATTATCCGAAATAAATTTTCAAAGTTCTTTTTGGAGGCTGAGTATTTTGTACATTTGCTTGTATATTACTTGCTAAATTTTCGCCTATGTCAGTAAAGAATTGTACAAATTCATCGCATATCTGTTGAGTATTTTTTAATACTGTTCCCGATGTTGAATTTAACTCAGTGACACACTCTTTAACTTTTGTTTTCCCAGTAATCTCATCAATAGTTGTCCAAAGCCGCTAATTAAATTTTTTAATTCTGGAAAATCAAACTCAGAAATTGCAACTTTGTTAGACTTATCGCGGTACAGTGTGATAAATATTGTTAGAAGATATAACGTAACTGGTTCAGTTAATATTGAGCAACGATATGTGAAAAAAGTAATATCACAAATGCCGACCGAAGAGCATTAAGAAGAATAATCGTGAAAAACAGGCGTGCCAATTATTTACAATTAAGTGCTCTGTGGAGTGACGCTGCTGGAAGGAGAATTTCGAGGTCCACAACTCATAGAGAGACTCACAAACTGGGATTTAGCACTTGCAAGGTAAGTTTTCCTATAAAAAAAAGTGAAGTAAAAACCCTAAAGTTGCACGGCTTGTTTATAGGCCAAAGAAAAGCCACTATTAACTCCACTGCAAAAGAAAAAGCGGCTTAGATGGGCTAAAGAACATAGACAATGGACACCTCAACAATGGTGTGCAATACAATGGAGTGATGAGGCCCGATTCGAAATTTGTGTTGGTGACAGTCGCAGCAGAGTTATTCGCAAAAAAATGAAGCATTCCATGTTGGCTGTCTGAAGAGAAAAGTGAAATTTCCAGCATCCATTATGGTCTGGGGCAGTATGTCATCAAAAGGAGTAGGAAAACTTCATTTTATTGATGAAAATGCGGATTCAAACAAATGTTTGGCAATTTTAGAAGAATCGCTTTTACCAGTGATGGAAGTATGTTTGACATCCAGATTTTCTGTTTCAGCAAGATGGTGCAGCGTGCCATACCTCAAAAAAAGGCTATAAAATGGATGGAAGAAAATAATGTACCACTTTTGAAATGGGTTTCTAGCAGTCCAGATCTGTCACTTATTGAAACTTTGTGGCACGAGATGAGAAAGGTTCTACGAGAACATCCTGCTCGTACAATCACCGAACTGAGACAAAAGCTTCAAGAATATGGGATTGTTTTACACCAAATTTTTGCCAAAACTTGGTTAACACTATGCCCCAAAGAATTTCAGCCATAATAAAAAATAAAGGTGATGTTCCCCGATGGTAAGCTTTCAATTGTTGCTTTGTTAACTTCGCGCATTTATTCGCACATTGTTTATTTGTTCAGATGTTCTATTAGTTATAGGTCTAAGTGATTTCAAATATGTCTTTTTTACGACTACAGTGTATCTAAAATGTTTTTGAGGAAATAAATTGTTTTAGAAGTAAATAGTTTCGTCATGTTTAGTTTATAAAGGCATATTTTGGTACAAATCTTGAAGTGGGCCAACTGAAGTGGAAGGGGCTCGAATTTTAAATCAGGTAGGAATCTTTGGAATAAACAGTTCTGAATGCGAGTTTTACCCAATTTACACCCGCAGAGCTATTATGTAAAAGAACCTAAAAAACGTCAAAAAACAAAACGTCATCTTGCAAACTAGGAAGTTTTCAGTGTGCATTTCACGTTGGTCGCTATGATCACGACACGACACCCTCAAGCATGCATTGTTGGTTTCAGAAAACCAAGTAGTATCTTTGAGAAGATGAGAAAGAAAAAAAGTTGGTTGAATAGCAAGATCGCATTTGGATGATTAAGTGTATTGGTCTGCATGTGTATAAAATCAGTGACATTTGCTGTGTGAGAAAATTGTTACTGAATATGCTGCCAATGAAGAATATCTGTAAGCTGTGCCCGACGGCGACGAAGACATGTTATGTTCAAAGCTATAAATTATAATTTTTCCCGTTTTCTTTTGTGCTTGCAAAAACTTTGAGGATAATTACAAGAAATCACCACCGCGCCCGTGCTAGTATTTCTGGAAGGGTGCTGGATTCTAAAGGGTGGCCCATAAGTCCCCTGGTGTCAAAAACTCTTCTATCATTGCTACATACCGCTCCGAAGTAACAGTTAATGCGCGACCTCTGTCGTCCTCAAAAAAATAAGGGCCTACGATGCCATGCGCTGACATAGCAGCCCAAACTGTAACTTTAGGGCTGTGTAAGGGCTTCTGATGCTTACGCCTTGGATTTTCGGGGCTCCAATAACGGCAATTTTGTTTATTTACATGCCCGTTTAAATGGAAGTGAGCCTCGTCCGTGAACAACACATTATTGAGCGAAGAAAATCGATTCAACATTTCATTCGCAAAGTTTAGTCTCTGAATAGCGTCATTATCTTTTAATTCCTGCACTAACTGAATTTTGTAAGCGTGCAGACGTAAATCTTTCCTTAAAATCCGCTGTAAAGATGTTCTGGGTACGTTTAGTGCACTGGAACGCTTACGAGTAGACTGGGTAGGATTTTGACGAACAGACTGTGCCACAATGTTGATGTTTTCTTCAAT